ATGAAATTTAGTTTCTTTTACCTGTTTTTTTTTGTAAGTTTTATAAAAATGCCATTTTCACCGTGTTCTTAGAAATGACCATAGACGTCCTTACCATTTGCAACCTGTGCAAGGACTACAGCCAGGGGACGGAGAACGAAGAATCACATTTTGTCAGTGGATTCTTGATATAACTGATAATAATAGGGAGTTTTTAAGTAACGTTTTATGGGCCGATGAGTCATGCTTCACTAGACGTGGAGTGGTAAATTTTCATAATCAACATATTTGGTCGCATGAAAATCCGCATGCAGTTCGGGAAAGAAATTTTCAGCATGAATTTAGTGTGAACGTGTGGATTGGTATCTACCGTAATCGACTATATGGACCCTACCTTTAGCCTGCAAGGTTAAATGCTGCGACCTTCTTGGAATTTTTAAAGGCAGAACATGCAAATATGTGGGATGATGTTATGTTAGATTTAAGAAGATTGGCCTGGTTCCAGCTTGATGGTTGTCCAGCTCATTATTCGAGAATAGTTAGAAACTGGCTGGACAAAAATGGATCGGCCGTGGAGGACCAGTCGCCTGGCCTCCACGATCCCCTGACCTAAATCCATTAGATTTCTTTGTGTGGGGATTTCTAAAAGAAAAAGTGTACCAGACTCCCGTAACCACAAGAGATATGCTAATAGACAGAATCAGGAACACATGTGATGAAATAAGGCCTTATTTGAATAATGCTATACCACGTTCAATCATTCGTAGATGTGAATTGTGTATTGAACAATTGGGTTTACGAGCAACTACTTTAGATTTTGTATGTTTGTCCTAACTATCCAATAGCATTTTAGTTGTAAATAATTAATTTAATTTGTTAAAAATAATATTGGAAAATTAAACAAATTAATATTCTGTTTTTTTGTGTTTATTTGGAGTTAGGAATTATTGCTGTGTTTAAAAACACAATCTAAACGATCATCTTAATTACTTGTAATGCCAAAATCGAAAATATAAAAATAAATATTAATTTCCCATAAATAATTAAAAATGCATCGAACCTTAAAAATCGAAATATCTCAAAAAAGGCTAACTATAACGAAAACTCACAGGAGAGTTTTTTTATGTTGAAAAGTGCGAAGAATCAGTTTTTTTATTCAAAAAGCAAAACATTGCACTAAGAAATTTTTTTCGGTCATTTTAATACACTACAGGTACAGTAGAGAGCGTCCTCTAGCGGCTACAGTAAAACTATGCCCATGGTTCGTTTTATCGTACCAAAAAACCCTTGTATACCAATTTTCACTGTTATACATCAAATACTGTTCGAAATATTAAAAAAAAACTATTTTAGAAAGTAAATTTAAACACCCTGTATTTCGGAAGCCACGCATTTTTCGACCCATGTTTATATAGACTTTATGCATTAATTTTAAAAGTTCTATTGAATCTTAAAGTTATGCAACAATAAACTGGAACACCCTGTATAACGTATGGTGGAAGCAGCACACCAGAAGCGGACCCGCACATCATTATGGTAGTAGCAGTTTTGGTAAAGTTGCATATCCTTTCAGGGTATTTTGTACCACGCCGAAACAGCATCTTTTGTTTTCCGGGATCATCCTGCACATTTGTTTCATCGTAGTTGAGAATATATTACAAGCTGGGATATCCTTTAATGTTTCACTCAAATTTTCGAAATATTCGACTATATCTTCCCTTGAAACATTAGCCTGAGCTCTCTTGATGTTCGATGCAACTTTTTGGCTAATATCTTTCTTATGTCGTTGTAAGAAAGAACGAGCCCAATCTATTCCAGGCATGCTTGCTCTAAACTTCCCAATAATGCGACCCTGACTATTCAGATAGCTTTTAGCTATACAGCGCAAATCAGTAAGCGTGACTGGAAATCTCCAATCTGAACAGATATTTACTACTTTTACGAAGGCATGTTCTTCGGCAACTGAAAAAACTGTTTGACCTCCAGATTTCAGAATTCTGATTCCCTTATACTTATTTCAAAGGGTGCCAAAAGGGATATTATGTGCAGCCGATGCTTAACGGAGGGACCATCCATCTTCTACCACCTTTTTGAGAGCAGCTTCTAGGGTCTCTGGGGAATAATCCACGTAACGGCGTGATCCAAGTGTTCTTTTATAATTCCTCGGCATGATTAGGGTTCTTCAACTGTAAGAAACAATAAAATTATAGCTTAATCTAATCATAATTACATTAACAATACAAAAATAAATATACATATATTGTTAGATGTGGTGTGATTGATCACTGAAAATTGATCAATCTCGCCCCGCCTAGGCGAACAATCTGACCCCACCCATTAAATATCTCAATATGTATTATGAAAAGCACTGCACTGTTCATTCCCGCTCGACTACACCATAACCTCAAATATCAACAAACATGCCTAGTATGACGCAAACAAAAATACAGGTCAGCACTTTAACTTACCTGGCAAATCTCCAGATAGTTACTCCATGCCCCAAAACCGACACCTTCAAAAACACTGGCTAGGCACCGCTAGGTTCCTCTGACGCACGCTCTATCTTTCGCTAAATTCAAACTTATGAGAAAATGATATGGTGATCAAACTCGCCCCTTGAGATCAATGTCGTCCCAATCGACGGTAGTCGGTGGGCGAGAGGTCCGGGGAATATGGTGGATGAGGCAGAGTTTCATAGCCCAATTCGTTCAGCTTTTGCAGCGTCGGTTGTGCGAATTGGCCCCTTCATATTGATCAATCTAGGGCACATCCGTCGGAGCTTCTGATGCATTTCGTCGATCTGCTGGCAATACTTCTCCGACGTAAACTTTTCGCCCGTATTTAGAAAGCTATGCTGGATGAGACCGGCTGCAGACCACAGTCACCATAACCTTCTTTGGATGGAGTTTCGGCTTCGGGAAATGTTGTGGAGCCTCATCGCCCTCCAACCATTGCGCAGTACGTCGCCTATTGACGAAGAGAATCGGCTTTTCATCACATGTAATAATCCGGTCGAGAAATGGGTCGTTTTTGTTGCGTAGAAGAACCTCAAAACCACGATTTTTCTGATCCTCGCTCAATTCGTGCGGTACCCATTTCCAATCCGTTTCAAGTAGTCGGAAAAGGTCGCAAACCCACATCAAGCTCTTCCACAGGCTCATGAACAGTTGTGCATGGGTTTGCTTCCACCAGTGCCTTTAATTAATAATTTCTTGAATGTTTGTAAGTGGTTCCTTGGCCTAATAATGCATTGTTGATATCGCGAGCTGTCTCGCCAGTTTTTCGACCTATTTTAAACTGGAATAAGAGAATCGTGCGAATGTGCCTCTTGTCCATCCTATATTTGAAGTCTTGAAAAAAAAACGAATAGATCGACTAGATATAGCAAAAAACGCGCTTTACACTGATAAATGTAAAATATACTAAGTGACATATAAATCCGAACACCCAGTTTAAATGGTTTTATTTTAATAAAAGTTGGTGAATGTCTTTATCTTATTGTAAATAACAAGTGAAAAAATTTTCAGCCTTATCAGTTGGACATTCCGGTTTTTATACTGCTTTTTTTTAATTCACTAACGCTCTAAAAATGAATATTTCAGCCGCAGTAAAGAATCAACGTTGGCGGATTTTGGTTCTTGACATCCTTTACGATCGGTTACGATGCCTAGAGTACGGAGACCTGTACGATTTCGTCAACTTAGTGAGATAGGGGCCGTATAGTGGGACTTCGGGAAGCTGGACTTTCTTTTCGGGCAATTGCAAAGAAGTGTAGACACTGTGGTTAGGTGTTGTCAGGCATGGCTTCGAGAAGGCCGTACGCAAAGAGCAAGGGGCACTGGACGCCGCCGTAGAACAACAGACCGTGAAGATCGCCGCCTAAGATTATTGGCCTTAAGGGACCGTTTCTCCACTACCAGGTCCATTGCAAATGAATGGTTTGCAGAACACGGAAGACCTATTGGCATGCGAAGTGTTTACCGACGAATGAGAAGTTTTGGCTTGTTTTCATACCGGCCACACTGGGTCCTCCCTTTAACTCGAGAACACCGACGTAATCGCCTTGAGTGGTGCAGACAACGGTCACTCTGGGATCAGGAATGGAACAGTATTGTCTTTAGTGACGAGTCTCGATTTTGTTTAGGCATGCACGATGGTCGTGCCAGGGTTAGAAGGCGACGTGGTGAAAGGAGGAATCCACAGTTTTTTGTTGAAAGACATGTTCATCACACTGTTGGAGTTATGGTTTGGGGTGCTATAGCTTATGGTTCCAGGTCACCTTTAATCTTCATCAGAGGTAACATGAACGCGCAGCGTTATATCCACGAAGTTCTAGAACCCCATCTTTTACCCTATCTTGACACCCTGGCAGATCCAACTTTCCAACAAGATAATGCCCGACCACATGTTGCAAGAGTCACAATAGATTTCTTTCAACATAATGATGTCACATTGTTACCATGGCCACCAAGATCTCCCGACTTATGCGCAATTGAGCACGTGTGGGATATGATGGGTAGGAGATTGCTCAATTTGCAACGTCCTCCTCAGACTCTAGAAGCACTTCGAGAGGAGTTGGTGGTTGCCTGGAATGAGATACCACAGGAGGACATTGACCACCTGATCAGAGGCATGCCTAGGCGCGTTGGAGAATGCGTAGCACATCAGGGTGCATCCACACATTATTAAAGGTCAAAGGGCTTTAAAGCAGTGCAATCATTTTGAAATTTTTATCATTTACTTATTATGCTTCATTAAGTACTTATACAAAATTTTATTAAATTAAAACCATTTAAACTGGGTTTTCGGATTTATATGTCACTTAGTATAGATCATTTAAAATATAAATAACAAAAACCGCAAGAACTTTCCGTACAACCTGATACGTCTCATCCTATTCACAGATAATATTGGTTGACAAAATGCACTCGATATTGTGAAGTCTACTCCTTATATCTTCTATAGGATTTCGTTACAAAAAACTTTAAACATTAGTCTTGAGAATTTTCTTTTTTGTTTAGGTGCTTTTGCGACCATTAGCGAGCTTATAGAAAGACTGTACTCAGGTATGAATATTTTAAATCTCTAGGAACTTATTTAACCATTGCATAACACATTTTTAGAGGCAAAAAATGATATAAAACAAAAATCGATCGTATACGCTAGACCTTTTGCTAGAACAGAATCGGATGATGATAAAGCTAGGAGGGAGGCACAAGAGAGGTTAAACACAATCCAAGATGAAATGATGCAAACTCAAATAAAATATCAGAGAGAGTTGGAAAGGTTGGAAAAGGAAAATAAGGAACTGAGGAAGCAGAATTTGCTGCTTAAGCAGGGCAGAAAGCCAAATACTAGAAAGATAAAGAAAAATCTTATTGATATGTACAGTGAGGTAATTTTTATTGTATCATAATATACAGGGAGTTTGGTGCATCATTTGCCAAATTGAAATGGCGGACAGAGGAGATCTCTATCACCCCAGGTCCCTCAAACAGTTTTTAGCCCAACGGAATTAATTATGTAGATTTTTAATTTTTTTTTTAGTAAAAACTTCAAATAATACACAAAGTGAAATAAAAAAAATAAAGAGTATGTCCACCTAATGATTAATTTATCTTAATGGGTGATGTTGTGCCAGTCTTACAAAATCAACATTACTTGCCAGCAGCATGTAGTTTTTTATTTATAAACTCACAAAGGGTTACAAAGAAGAACAAAAAAAATTAAGTCTCAATTTTGAATTCCTGTAAAAAAACTAAAAGCGTTTTCGTTTTTTAGAATTCTTTTAAAAACTACTCTAGTTTATCCCGATTATAACGGTATGCCACAAGTCACACCCATTAAGATAAATTAATCATTAGGTGGACATACTCTTTATTTTTTTTTTATTTCACTTTGTGTAATACATTATGGAGTTTTTACTAAAAAGAATTAAAAAATCTGCATAACTAATGCCGTTGGGCTAAAAACTGTTTGAGAGACCTGGGGTGGGGCCATTTCAATTTGGCAAACGATGCACCAAACACCTTGTAAAATTATTCCCAATGTTACAAGTAAATGAAATTTGGTACATGTAGGTAATTGGGAACACTGCTTAAATATTTGAAGTGGTGGGGCAGAATTTGAGTTATAGAATGCGTCGTTTGGAACCATCCATATAGACCCAAGCGTCATATGGACGTTGGATTCGAAATTTATGCACCCGATTTTTCAGGAAGACGGTTTTTAGCGATGACATAGTCAGGAGTTTTTGGAAACACCTCGTCATAGGGGACTTAAAAAAAGACTTTGTATGGCAAATTTTCTATTTTACGAGCCTTTGCCACAAGCTGATGAAACTCCATATTCTTAGATAAATTGTAGCGCTAAACGTGGAGATGACTGTCAAAAATCGTAAAGCTAGTGCCACGGGGCAGAATTTGAGGTAGAAAATGGGTCTTTTCTTAAACGATATTGGAAAATGTATGGCTCTATAAGCAATTTTTTTTATAGTTCGTTATAAGTGAAAACAATTTGGTACACTTAGATAATTTGAGACGGTGGATTCAAATATGTCCGCAAAAAGAAACAATTGGATATAATGTCAAATTATCACTTGCATATGAACTTACGCAATCTGTTTATCCAGAAAACAAGTTTTTATATACATAGATTACAGATGACGTGGCTTTGTTTTTTTTCACAGGAAACCTAAAAATATCATAGAACTTTGGATGGCAAAATTTCCAAGTTTGACATTCGTCGCTACAAGTGAATAAAGCTTCATATAGATAATTTATGGTTCTGAATTCAAATATGATCTTTGTTAAACCAAGGCTCATTATACGTCTCATAATACGTTTAAGACTTATTTTTATTTTAATATTGAAAACGTTTCGTTTTTAATTACGTTGTAATAATGTCGCTCAAAAACAAAATCTTACTTAGCATTTTTATTTTGTTGAAGGTGTTAGATGAACTGGCTGATTTTGATAGTGGTTATAATACTCAAGACCAGTTACCTAGGGTTGTGGTTGTCGGGGATCAAAGTAGTGGAAAAACATCAGTTCTGGAAATGATTGCCCAAGCTAGAATTTTTCCTAGGGGTGCTGGAGAAATGATGACGAGGTAAATACTATCTACAGCTGAATAGAATGTTTATGCAAAGTTATAAGTAGTGATCTTTGGAAATTACCGATACGCTTTTCATCAAGGAGTTTTCCTATGTTTCAGAGCCCCAGTGAAGGTGACTCTTTCAGAAGGTCCCTATCATGTGGCAAAATTCAGGGATTCTACTAGAGAGTTTGACCTTACAAAAGAATCTGATCTTGCGGATTTGAGAAAGGAGGTAGAATTAAGGATGAGAAATAGTGTAAAAGGTGGAAAAACTGTATCGAATGAGGTCATATCCATGACTGTTAAAGGTATGTTTTGGTGACTTAATTTCTCAGACAATTTTGTTAATTTCAATTATTTTAGGCCCTGGCTTGCAAAGGATGGTATTAGTGGATTTACCTGGGATAATTTCGGTAAGTACTTGTAGGATGTTCCCAGAAAATGTCGCACATCTTGTCACGATCATATAGATCCCAATTTTGTTTATGATACAACAATGCGTAGCAATAAAATTATTTGTTTTAGACACAGACAACAGATATGGCAGCTGACACAAGAGAAAGTATAAAACAGATGATACAATCTTATATGAATAACCCAAATGCCATCATTTTATGTATTCAGGTAAGCTGTTTTGATTACTTTATTTGAATTTCAGTATAACAACAAATGTGTACGAGCCCCTTCCCACTTCAGTTGGCCCACTTCAAGATTTGTACCAAAATATGCCTTTATAAACTAAACATGACGAAACTATTTACTTCTTAAACAATTTATTTTCTCAAAAACATTTTAGATATACTCCAGTCGTAAAAAATACATATTTGAAATCACTTAGACCTATAACTAATAGAATATCTGAACAAATAAACAATGTGCGAATAAATGCGCGAAGTTAACAAAGCAATAATTGAAAGATTACCATTGCGTAAAATCACCTTTATTTTTTATTACGGCTGAAATTCTTTGGGCATAGTGTTAACCAAGTTTTGGCAAAAATTTGGTGTAAAACTTTCCCATATTTCTTGAAGCTTTTGTCTCAGTTCGGTGACTGTACGAGCAGGATGTTGTCATAGAACCTTTTTCATCTCGTGCCACAAAGTTTCAATAGGTGACAGATCTGGACTGCTAGAAACCCATTTCAAAAGTGGTACATTATTTTCTTCCATCCATTTTATAGCCTTTTTTGAGGTATGGTACGCTGCACCATCTTGCTGAAACACAAAATCTTGGCCGGATGTCAAACATTCTTCCATCACTGGTAAAAGCGATTCTTCTAAAATTGCCAAATATTTGTTTGTATCCACATTTCCATCAATAAAATGAAGTTTTCCTTTTGATGACATACTGCCCCAGACCATAATGGATGCTGGAAATTTCTACTGCGACTGTCACCAACACAAACCTCGAATCGGGCCTCATCACTCCATTGTTGAGGTGTCCATTGTCTATGTTCTTTAGCCCATCTAAGCTGATTTTTCTTTTGCAGTGGAGTTAATAGTGGCTTTTCTTTGGCCTATAAACAAGTAGTGCAACTTTAGGATTTTTACTTCACTTTTTTTTATAAGAAAACTTACCTTGCAAGTGCTAAATCCTAGTTTGTGGGCCTCTCTATGAGTTGTGGACTTCGAAATTCTCCTTCCAACAGCGTCACTCCACAGAGCACTTAATTGTAAATAATTGGCACGCCTGTTTTTCACGATTATTCTTCTTAATGCTCTTCGGTCGGCATTTGTGATATTACTTTTTTTCACATATCGTGGCTTAATATCAACTGAACCAGTTACATTATATCTGCTAACAATATTTCTCACACTGTACCGCGATAAGTCTAACAAAGTTGCAATTTCTGAGTTTGGTTTCCCAGAATTAAAAAATTTAATTATCAGTAACCGAATTTTCTCACTAACAACCTTTCCTCTACCCATTTTGAAAACCTTAACTACCCAAAACTATTTTAAACGTATTCTGACAGCTGTGATTAATAAAAACAATTGTCATGGCTTTTATTTTTCACAGCCACCTATGTGTTATAGACTTATTTTGCATTGAAATGAAAATAGGTTGATATGCTGTAATTGCAACATGTGTTAATTTTATGATGCAAATTTGATTAGGGAGTTGGTGATTTCTACTATATATTATCAAAATATTCATTGTTAATATAGAAACAAAGTTCATTGAATTATAGAAAACCAACCATGTTTGTGTTAATATTTTGTAGCATAACCATTATTATCAAGCACGGCCTGGCATCGTCTCGGCATAGAGTGTAGAAGCTTCTTGATATAAGATTCATCAATCTGTCTCCACTTTTGCTCTAAAGCGTTTGAATAATTTTGATCTCGTATTTGCTTATCTAAGTATTCCAATAGATTTTCAATGAGGTTTATATCGGGAGACTGTGAAGGCCATTTGAGAACTGGTATTTTTTCATCCAGAAAGAATTTCTTTGCGAGATTTGAAGTGTGCTTCGGGTCATTATCTTGCTGGAAGATTGATCTTAAGGGCATATTGTCTTCCATATAGGGTAACAAGGGTACAAGGAAATAGAATGTGTAATTATTTCCCCAGAAGCCTGGTCACACTATCACAGCAAAATATTTTCAAGAAATGTTATCGAGTTGTTACACGTATTTCATGTTTATTTTATGGCACAGGTATAAGACGAAATAAGCCTTTCAGCTTAGACTATTCATTATTCAAAACTTGTAGGATGGATCAGTAGATGCAGAACGAAGTAATATAACGGACCTAGTAGCTAGTTGTGATCCCCATGGGAAGCGAACAATTTTTGTATTAACTAAAGTTGATATGGCGGAAGAGAATCTAGCAGATCCTAATAGAGTGAGTGTTTATATTGAATTTTTGTCCCCTTGAAATGAATGATATCCATTTTTTAGATAAGAAAAATATTATCAGGAAAACTATTTCCAATGAAGGCTCTCGGTTACTTTGCAGTTGTTACTGGGCGAGGCCGAAAAGATGATTCTATACAAACAATAAAAGAATATGAAGAAGAATTTTTTAGGAGGTCTAAGTTGTTCAAGTGAGTAGATCCATGACGATGCATAGGATGAAATAGAATATTAGATACCTCTGTTAAGAAGGAGCTGCTATTAATCGTTTTTATTATTTTATAAAATCTCTAATCACTTGATACTTTATTAACAAACTCTTTACAGAGATGGTGTGGTCAAATCTACTCAGGTAACCACTAAAAATCTATCATTGGCCGTCGCTGACTGTTTCTGGAAAATGGTAAAAGAAACCGTAGAACAGCAAGCAGATGCCTTTAAAGCTAGACGTTTCAATCTTGAAACAGAATGGAAAAACAACTTCCCCAGATTAAGAGAACAAGATAGGGATGAGTTATTTGAAAGAGCACGGGCAGAAATTCTGGATGAGGTGGTGAATTTATCTCAAGTCAGTCCGAAACAGTGGGAGGAAAAATTGCTAGAAAAACTGTGGGAGAAAGTATCTATTCATGTTTTCGAAAATGTGTACATTCCTGCAGCTCAGACAGGATCGGCAGGTAAACATGGAGAAGTTTGTAATTATTGGCGAGGCGCATACTAGCATTTAGTTTGATGCAAACTTTGGAATGTGTATATGAGAAGTTTTTTTTGAAGTACATAAAATGCCTTCATGACAGAACGGTGCGTACGCGAGTGACGTTGCAACAAAGATAGAAGTCACTACGACACATCATTAGATTTCCACTAATTTTCAAATACTACAACTCATCAAGTAGCTTGGACTTCCAAGCTGCCAAAATATTGGCATAAATAAATACAATAAACAGCAATAATTTCAGTTATAAAGTAGACTCTCTAATATCTTGTAGTATAAAAATTAGTATGATATTTAAAAAATGGATAAATAGTGGCAATTCTGTGCACAAGCCATCTAGGGATTTTCACCATTATTTACCTAGGAGAATGTGGTGAATGATTTCTCAGGTTAGTAGTGAAAAAATAAACAGATGCTAGCAAAAGTTTGGGTATCAAAAATGATAGGAATAGAGGTGTAAGAGTTGTTTAGAATAAAAAAATTAATTTCGTAGGTTTGCCTTTTTATGTACCTATTCGTAATACTTGGGGAAACGTTATATTTAAATGGGTGATAGAGGGGGTTAAAAGAAGCAAAAAGTTTCATATAACATGGGGGTCAAAACGGCATTTTTTTAGAGAAAAGTGACTTTAAAGTAAAATAAAATCTGACAACGCCAGACGCAAATTACGACGGAACGCAATGTAAATAAAGATGGCGTTTGTTATTTTTGGCTCTTAGGTATTATTTCATTATTTAATAATTTACTCGTAAAATGCAAACCGACTTACCACTAACTGTCTCAGCGCTTCACCTGGCGTGTGAAAGTTATTGAACGTATTAAACAAATCCACTTATAAATAGGGAACACGATTTTGATACATACATTGTTTATCTTTTTAAAACTTTTTTTTTGTATCTAAAAAAGGTGTTCAAAATGTCGTCCTCCACTTTCCACACAAGCTTCATTACGACCTTCACGAATGGTATGAGGATTTTCTTGGGTCCACGTGTGAGTATTATGGAAATTTAATTTCCCGTCTCGCGTAAAAGTACATTCGTCCGTCGCTAGAATGTTTTTAAAAAAAATCTGGATTTTCAATGTTTTTGTGCAAAAACCACTGACAGAATGTTAGTCTGCGACGATAGTCTTCTGGTAACAAGGCCTGCACTCGTTGTACATGACAGGGATAGGGCAAATTTTCCCGTAGCATTCTATGGACTATGGTATGCGATAGTCCTACGCGGCGGCCTAATTCCCGAGTGCTGATCTCTGCATTGGTTTCCACGATATTTAAAATTTGCTCCTCCTGCTCTACAGTAGCCTGTCTTTCAGGAGTGCAAATATTAGTGGGCTGAACACTTCCTGTATCTCGAAGTCTTTGGTACACTTGCACAAATGTCCTTCTGTCTGGGTGTACCCGTTGGCGAAATCTGTCACGATAAATTTGAGCTACAAGATTTGAATTCTGACGAGCTTCACCGTAAACTAACAACATGTTCGCGAACTCTTGAGTCGAGAACATTGTAAATAAACACGACGACGTACGCGAACAATAACTAAGCACTGTTACCGTTTGCGATCGATTGCCGGTTCGATAAGAGTGATGAATGACCGACGCGCTGTTGTCATGTCTGTTTTAAATATTATTTGTTAATTACCCAAATTAAAAACGTCTTAGATTAGATTATAAAAATTGGTAAGATTGTGGTCGATATAAAGCCCTTAAAGTTGTAAACTATAAGCCATTTAGACAAAAATCTATTGACTTTTGGACCATGGATCATATGAACTTTTTGACTTGTTTTGACCCCCCCCTATTATCCATTTCAATAATAACTACCATACACCCTGTATAACGATATTTTGCTAAACGTTATCAGGCTGTTGCAAGATCTTTCAGGCGGAACAGTGTTGTCAAGAAAACTTAAAAATTCATATAATTATTTGTAACCTTCCAGATACAAGATTCCATCATTATAATTGTGAGAAAAATTATACAGCCCTGTTGACTGACAAGTATAGATCCCTAAATGTAAAATAATCAATAATATTCTCCTCGCAAGCTACAAGATTGAAGCATTCGATCACCAACTCTTTGTTGAACCTTATTTTGCTGTCTTGCCAGGCATTTACGATGTCATCGCCAGTAATATAGTCTTTCAGACGGAACAGTGTTGCCAAGAAAACTTAAAAATTCATATAATTATTTGTAACCTTCCAGATACAAGATTCCATCATTATAATTTTGAGAAAAATTATACAGCCCTGTTGACTGACAAGTATAGATCCCTAAATGTAAAATAATCAATAATATTCTCCTCGCAAGCTACAAGATTGAAGCATTCGATCACCAGCTCTTTGTTGAACCTTATTTTGCTGTCTTTCCAGGCATTTACGATGTCATCACCAGTAATATAGCATTTCGCGTCCTTGTCGACAGCTCGGAAAATTTCCAAAATGAGCATTTCGGTATCTTTCATATAATGAGCTTTGTGATTGCAGAACTTCTCTACGTCTTGAAAATTCAAGCAGTCCTTGTTGAGTTTCTTGAAGAATGATTCAATTTCCTCTTCAGATGGTTCCTCCCCAAAAATTGCAGTGCATAATATCACAAAGTCGCGCTTACCAAAACTTTCTTTTGTATCTAAAAGACACCCGATAGCTTTTTGTAGTGAAGCTCGGTTCATGTTTGGAATTTAGATGACATTTCTATGACATTTAACGACAGAACCTGACTAAATATCTTTGGTGACATAACACGGTGTATTTTGAAGGTAAAAAATGAATCAATATCTTATGTTTTTCATTGCCTTAAACATGCATCAACAAAATTAGGGAATCGTATTTTGTGTACCCAATGAGCTCAGCGTTCTGTGGTCCCGCGTCCATACAAGCGCGGTCATAAATGGGGGGTTGTGTTTTTGAGAACATATTTACAATGCTTTAAAAATAGTAATAATAACATATTTATAACAATTTTGAATATAAACATGTGATTAAAAACTTATTTATACCGAGTGGCAATATTTCTAGGCTGGAAAATATATCCAAAAATAACAAAGAGCTTTATATAAAAATAGGTCCTAAAATGTCCTATTACCAAGATACAGGGTGTTGTATGCTACTGAACTGACGTGAAGGACTAATATCCTCCAAATACACCACATATATACAATTTTTATCTAACTTCACCAACTTCATCGTATTTTTTAAGTTGTCTGACAAAAATTTATCAAAATAGGCGAATTTATGTGAAAAGCCTTATTCAAAAGTGCAAGTCTTTCACGAGTGCGAATATTAGTGGGCTGAACACTTTCTGTATCTCGAAGTCTTTGGTATACTTGCACAAATGTCCTTATGTCTGGGTGTACCCGTTGGCGAAATCTGTCGCGATAAATTTGAGCTGCAAGATTTGAATCTAACGAGCTTCACCGTAAACTAACAGCATGTAGGCAAACTCTTGATTCGAGAACATTGTAAGTAAACACGACGACGTACGCGAACAAAAACAAAACATACTAACCACTGTTACCGTTTGCGATCGATTGCCGGTTCGATAAGAGTGAGAAAGACCGACACGCTGTTGTCAGGTGTGTTTTAAATATTTAATTTAATGAAACTTACTTACTTCCTGACTACAAATGTTGGCTTAACTTAGAAAAACTTAATGCCATTTATTTGTTAATTACCCAATTTAAAAACGCTTAGATTTTAGATTAGATTATAAAAATGAGTAAGATTGTGGTGATTGTGGTCGATATAAAGCACTTAAAGTTGTAAACTATAAAGCCATTTAGACAAAAATCTATTGACTTTTGTACCATGGGTTATATGATCTTTTTGACTTGTTTTGACCCCCCTTATTACCCATTTCAATAATGAAGACCATAACGTTTACACCCTGTATGTAGCACCCAGGGGCTATGGCCGGCGGCAATAAAATGTTGCGTGCTAAATCTTTACAGTTTTATGTTGATCTTAAAGTAGCGAGACAGCATGGAACATGCTGAGAAAATTTTGTAGGTCTATTCAGAGTCCGCAACAAGTAAAAAAAGTACATGAAATTTCGCACAGCGCAGCACGTGTTTTTTCCAAAAAAACACATATGGAAGTAAATAAATAGTACGAAATAAAACACATACCTTGTTGCATATCCATGTCATCATATCACCCCACAACCAAAATTCTAATAAGTAGAGAAGTAATTAAAATGTGTGACATTTATATTTTTTGTATGGTTCCTCAACTAGTACGTGGCTCAGTCAGGTGCATAAGTGTATAATTAAAGGTTATTTTTTTGTATCCATGACCTTCCTGGGAACCGCTTGAAACGCCCGCACTTGCTATTATATATCGAAATATATATTTACTTGTTGTTCCAGAAACTTTCAACACATCTGTAGACATAAAACTGCGTCAATGGGCAGAATCTGCGTTACCAGCTCAATCAGTTGAGTCAGGATGGGAGACATTGAAATCTGAGTTCAAAAACTTTCTCAAGAAAGCCTCAGAAGCACCAGATCATGACCATATTTTTGACCAACTCAAAGGAGCTGTTGTCAACGAGGCAATCCATAGGCATACTTGGGAGGACAAAGCCTCTGATATGCTACGGTTCGTTTTGTCATTGATTAACATTTTAAAAAAGCTCAACCTTATGCTGTATTTGGATGTTCACATACAATCTCCATCGTCACACTCATGTTGCTAAGAAGGGTCACAGTATTTCCCTGAGAAGTAATAAAATCTGACATTTTTCTTTTAAAAACTTCTCAAGGAATATTCACGCCTTCAACTTACTTCGCAATAGTGGTGGCAGATATTTAACGAACTGTCATTTATGAGTAGAACTGATACTTGTAAATCACGTCTGTTGCCAAATACCGTGAAAATACAGGGTGGGCCATGAATTGGTTAACATTTGAAAAATCATATGAAAAACAAACATTTGACATTTTAAAAATTGTTTATTCACAAGAACGCTAATTAGTTGGAATTCATTTCTTGAAAATTATATCATCTAAATGTCCACCGTTACGATTTTTGCACTCTTCTAAACGTGTACCGAAGTTTTGGAATACTCGTCGGCATAAAGACTGCGAGATCGCCGACATCTCTTCGTTGATGTTTTCTTTTAGTTGACGGAGTGTACTTGGTTTATTGATGTAGACACGACTCTTTAAATAACCTCATAAAAAAAGTCTGGTGGGAATAGATCTGGACTTCTGGGTGGCCATGGGATGTCGCCTCGTCTGGAAATGAGCTTTTCCGGAAACATTTCTTTGACCACCGGCAGGGACTCGTTGGATGTGTGACACGTGGCTCCATCTTGTTGAAACCATGTGTTACGATTATAGCCAGCAAATTCCAGTAGCAACGGTGCCAAGAACTCCCGTAACATTTTCACATACTAAGCAGAATTAACAGTAACTGAATGCGCGGTAGAATCTTCAAAGAAGTAGGGGCCAATGATTCCTTTTGCTGAAACTGCAGCCCATACAGTTACTGTAGGAGAGTAAAGTGGCTTCTCGTGTTTAGCTTTGGGATTTTCGCTGCTCCAGTTCCTGCAAATCTGTTAAGGGATTGGCAAAATTACTGAATCAAGCTAACATCGTTTCGGCATACGACTTGCGCAAATTTAAATCATTAGGTTTTAGTTCCTGCACTATCTGGATCCTATATGGATGTAATTTCAAGTCTAATCTCAAAATACGGCGTAATGATGTGTGGGGTAACCCTAATTCAGCCGTACATTTGCGCGTCGATAAATCTGGATCACGTTGAACAGAAGCGGATACTTGCTGCAAGTTCCCTTCGCTCCGAGCAGTCCGTGGGCCGCCGGTTTGCTTCACATTCAGTGTAGATCCCCTCTCTTCGAACTTCTTCACCCATTTCTTTATCAAAGGAGCTCTCGGACACTGACTTAAGTCGTGTAAATTGTATTCAACGCGAAATAAGCGTCTCACAGTAATGAGCGAACTGTTGTTTAAATAAAATTGTTTCACACAATAAGCGCGTTGCGGCCCCGTGAAGCGATCCATTGCGTCTGAATTTCCGAGAAACGAGCTAGCGACTGGCCTCCTCCCCGCGCTTGGCGCGGCATCTGTTTGCGAGGTGTATTAGATTTACATGTTAACGAATTCTTGTCCCACCCTGTATATTGCTGTATTAGTTGGCTCCATGTAATTTCATCGCGGTATGTTGCTCAGGGTATCAACATACCCATAAGCTCGTTGTTATTCGAAAGCCGTGATCACAACAGGGTCTTAAGTCACTGATATCAAAAAGTAACGGTATCAGATATCACATATTCAAAAATAACGATATCGACCGTCTCTACCTCATAATCTTTAACGAGATTTCGTATTCTTGGAATTTCTCAACGGCGGAAAGAGAAATACTATAATCTGCGGGTAAAACGTCAGTCAATACTTATATATAGTCAACGCCAAACAAAGTGGCTTGCACGTCATTAAAGGTGGGTGTGTAGAAAAAGTTACATTTGTTGCCAAACTTTTTGTAAAATAATAAAATTTATTATTTACCATATCTAGGGTTTTAAGCATATTACCTCAAATGAGAACAAAAATAATAGTATAATAAAATTATAGATCTTGTACTTTGCATAATCATTAAGTATGACATTATTGATCAGATGACACTATGAAACTACCATATTTAATTGATAGCTTAAAGGTACTGAATTAAATCCAAATGGGGTCCTCCAAATTTTATGCATGGTATTTATTTTACAGAATCATACAGAGAAATGCATCTAAAATTAGGTAAGCTACTGTGTAAGCTTTTCTGTCAATAAGTTAGTCGGAGTTTCTTTCTTCAGCGCTGTCTGAATCTGAATCTTCATCACTCTCAAAGTTGATTATTAAAGGTTCGATGTCTGGTCGATCAAAAATTCGTTCTCTTTCATACCATTTAAAAATTTCTTGCTCAGTATGTCGAACACTATTTTTCCACATGTCTGGGGTAACCGTTTGTAGAGCCTCGTTCCACATATCCAAACAGTCTTTTTCACTGTTACCATCTCTACCAATATGTCTGTTATAGTAACCTTTTGCTATGCCCCAAATTAACTCAATAGGGTTAAATATACAATGGTAAGGAGGCAGATGAAGAACTTTGTGCCCATGTTGTTCCGCCAATTCATCAATCACGTATATTTTAGGTGGTTTGTTTCTAAAAAAGCAGTTATTTTAAGAATAGGAATAAACAAAAGAAATATAAACTGTCGACCAAAATATATATAATTAAGAAGCATTATGTACCGAGCAACAATAATCAATAGCTCTGTTTTAAACATTGTGTTTAAAAATGGTATGTTTTGATTTGTCAACCAGTCTTGGATATTTTTTTTGTCCATGCATTGTTGGGCACTTTGTTCAATATCATGCTGTGATAAGGGGCGTTATCCAGTATAATCATAGATGGACTCTCCAATTTTTCTAATAACTGATGTTGAAACCATTTCAAAAAATTGTCCTGGTTCATCTCTCCATGGTAATCGCTCAATTTTGTTTTCGAAGAAAATATCGCTTCACTACCCTCAATAAACCCATTTTCATTTCCAGCATGTAATATAATGTATCTAAAATATATTAGTTTTAAATTTTATAGTGCAAATTGTGTAAAAGTACATACCTTTTACCATCTGTTTTAATAGCTTTCACGCTTTTTTGGTTTCCATTTTGCCAAGAGCGACCTATGGTCCCATTTTGAAATATCCAAGTTTCATCGAGGAAGACAAACTGGTATAAGGCCTCAACCTTGGCTTGATTATATTGCCTTAGAAATTCCACCCTTTTCAAAGCTATACTTGGTAGTTCCATGAGCCCTCGTCGCGGATTGTCCTTAAGCCACTTAAATCCAAGATCTCTAAGCAACCGCCTTAAAGACGTGGCACTACCATCAAATAATGCCCTATCTCTTAATCGAGACCATAAAGTTTGTATCGTAACTTGTTCTTCTGAAACCATGTGTAATATGACATTATAATTTAGTTAACAAATTAATGCAAATTTCTGATAAGTTATTATAATAAGATCTTACTTTTGTGATACATATTATAGATCACTTCTCGAATGGCACTTGTATCCAATGTCGCTGTGTTGGTTACACGTTTAATATAACTCCGCTTTTTCTTGGGCGATTCTAAATTTGCATCACTTTTCACACCCTCGGAAATACGACTAACTGTCCTTAAACTAATTTTTAAAGCAGCAGCAACACGCTACAAAAAATGAAATAAAATTTCACTATTATTAATATACATTACATATAATTATTAGTAACCTACCTCTTGAACAGCATTTAAAGGCAACAAAGGCCCGTTGTTGTCCCTTTCTTGCTCAAAGTAGTGCATTAACGAGGCCACGAGTTCCTTACACCGACTATTTAACTGTTTGGGCATCTTTATATACCAAAATTGCCTTTATCTACTCGTAAAATGAATAATTTTGTTTTGAAACAAACAGTTGTTGATTTACAGTATGCGGGGCCAAAGGATTTATAAAGATTTGAAATGCCACAAATTGATTCAGTGTCAAAATTAATACAAATGTCAGTTCCCAGTTTAAATAAGTTTCAAGGTGACAATGTGTCAACGCTGCGAAATCGGTTTAGTGCGTTTACATGTCGATAAGTGATTGGAGCGTTTGCAAAACATTTTATTTCGCATAATGCGTCTAAATTTATCAGAAAGCAACTTATGTGATATTTTAATAACAATGTTTATATGACTATTAACCATAATAAGAGAGTAATGACCATTTTAGAATTTATATATCACATTAATATGAAACTGCAATGGAGCAATTGTTTGTGATAGAAACCTAGGCATTAGGTCGGGGAATTTTTATCGTGATGACGTGCACGCCACTTTGTTTGGCGTTGACTATAGTTGTAAGCATGACGCCACGGTATATATGCCAGTTTTCGCACCGATCCGGCTTTCAATCGAATTGAAGGGTACCGGGAAATAACGACAATATTCCATCCGGACTGATTTTGAGAAAATCGGTAATTAAGTTTTACTTACTTGTTGGAAAGTAAAATTGATGAAAAAATAAGTCGTAAAGGATATCTTTGCTAAACAGTGTGTTTATTGGTAAAATCGATTTTACAAAATGAACTTTTACTCAAAACTAGTAACGTAACAAACAAAAGATGATGTTCAACTCTGGACTCGTGCCACTTTTTCCCTGCTTTAAGCGTCTATTGGCGGGTCACCGACATATTCATCACTGCTGTCTTCTGGATAATCAAGAGATATTAACTGTTGATAAAATGCCCTGGAATCTGCTCTCTCTAGAAATTTGGCCAAATCCTGCAGATCCTTCCATTTCCTACCTTTAATTGGGATTGGGCCCTGGTAAAGTTTTCACAATGTTTCCTCTTCTCGTTTTTGTTGATCTTTCTGCGTCTTTTTTAGATTCTTCCGAATTACCTTATCAAATTTAGAACTAGCATATAGGCCCAAGTATGTCGATTTGTGAAAAACCACGCGAGGATTCTGTTTACAAAACTTGAGCATCCTGACTGGTCGGGTTGGAAAGGGGTACTTCGTTGGATAAAACGGCGATAAAAACGTACTCCAATCTTGAAAATCAAAATTTTTGCCATAATCAATGACTTCAAATGGTGTAGGTTTCACACGGCAATGTTTCAATTCATCTCTCCAGTCATCCGATACCTCAGTATATGCTCTTTGGTTCACGTGACTCATATCTCTATCACACTCGAGGTATGAATGCCCCCTGATCGGGAATATTAGTTTCACAGTAGTAAAACGGTTTTTCTTGGTAACCAAGTAATAACTGTAAAGATTTTATTTTGCCCTGCACAGGAGTCACAGAAAATGGCAAGTCGTTTTACTTTCGTAGGCAGGATGTTATAAAAGAAGTGATACAGACATCGTCAGCTCCTTTCTTAGCAATAGATTCATCGTAGGTATAAAAGATAGAATTTCAGTTTGACAGGATATGGATGTTAAAACTGATGAAGTTTAGTTGCGGCTTATAGTAAACATAATTTGTCGTAATATTTTGACAGGGCAAGTTTTTTTGGTAATCCATAGTGATACTTGTAGCGGGGAACTTCGAGGCACGTTTGCGGTAAGTTCTCTTTAGACTGTAAAATCGCTCACTTCTTATTTGATGTAGGGTCTTCTCAAGTATCTTTTTCTCCAAATTATTACTTGCTGACTGCCTAGTTTGTTCGGTGTGGGAATTTAAGGTAGCGGTAAGTGAAGATATATCAGCTTTTAAGGAATCACACGTACTACAAGTATCTTTTCGTGGATAACCGAACGATATATTGAAGTTGTTTTCAAAGATTTCTCGGAAGGATTCATAGGAAATCTTGTTTTCAACATTGCCAATAGAATACATTTTGAGTAATTTTGCGATATTTAGATTTTCAGGTAGGTAAACTTTTTGCGAATCTGTCAAAGAATAATGAGATTTGCGGCATTTGAGGCTCTTAATAAACTCGGTCATTTTCTGTTTTTTGTTTTCTGAAAGTTTGTGAAGTCTGTTGTGTTTTCCACGCATGCCGATGGGCGATTTCCCTGTTGCAACTAATGAGTCTCTTATGTACCGAACTCGACGAACTGTAATTCCGTGTAAAGACAAAAGAGCCTTAAGACAAACTGGAACATCAAGTATAATTCCATTTTCAACCAATCGGACACGATAACTAAATGAAGAATTGACTCTGATTCATTTTTTCGAGGGCTTCTACGCATGACAGGAAGAGCAGTGATAGGACCACTAAGATAAGCGTTTTGTGCATTAGTGTTTCCTAGTTCATTAAATTCACAAAGAAGTCTACATCGTTCAGGTACAGGAACAGTAGTAAAACAGCGAAAACGTTCACAAAAACAATCAGATCCAAGTTCGTAGGTAGTGGCGCGCAACGTTTTCATTACGTCTCTTTGTCTTCCTGTTTTTTTGCGTTTTTTCGTTTCTCTGTTAGATGGGCCTGGTTATACACAAAACCAGTATTATAAACTAAATTAGCGAATATAGTCAATATTCAAAATATCAGCGTATACAACACACGTGGACTCTAATAGTAAATTACTGGCTGATGCAATAACGACGCGCCCAAGCGGTACGGCCGATGTAACGCCGCCTTTCCATAAGGACGGATGCCGTTTTTCCATACACGCGCAGGCACTCATGCCATTCTTCCCCGGCACAGGGAATCATATAGCTGTTGTTTTGTTAACCTAGGCCCTTTTTACAATTTAAGAAGCTGATTACAAGATAGCATCAGGGAAATGCCACCAAAATAAACTGAAAGCTCAATTTAGCCAAATAATGGACTAATGCCGTTTTCCCCGGTACCCTTCAATTGGGTATCCTCTGATGAAATATGTCAATCAATGGTTTTGTTCATTGTCAGTCCTGCTATGAAATAAAACACATTATAATTTCGTAGTGGAAATATAACGTATTTTCCGACCTGATGATGCTTTTTTACTGAAGTGAAATGGGGCGGTATTTTCTAAATAATTTGATACCATTTTTTTTCAGGGTAATACAGCTGAATACTCTGGAGGACCGAACCATAGGCGACAAGAGGGACTGGGATCAAGCTGTAAAATTCCTAGAGTCTAGTGTAAAAGCTAAACTAAAAGAAAGTGAGAGGGCACTTAAAGACCTGATAGGCCCGTCAGCTAAAGAACGGTGGTTATACTGGCAAAACCAGACTGAAGACCAGAGCAAAAGCCGTAACATTAAGAGCGAACTTGACAAAATCCTATATTCTAACGATAAACATCCTCCTATATTGAGCTACGATGAACTTACTACGATCAAGCAGAATCTACAGCGCAACAACGTCGAGGTGGACGCTGACTTCATCAGGAACGTGTGGAACGCTACGTATCGACACCACTTTCTGCAGAAAGCACTGGGGAAGGCATACGATTGTAGGAAGGCCTTCTATCTGTACCATCAGCAGGCCGATGTGGATTGCGCGGACGTCGTACTGTTTCATAGGATATCGCAGATGATGAAAGTAACGGCGAACGCGCTCAGGCAACAGATTACTAACAGAGAAGGTATGTTTACGAGAATCTGTTTCATTTCCCATGCGTACGCGAAGGTATGGTGATTGCGCACAAATATCAACACTCCAAAATGTATTTCATGTTACAACGTCGTTGGGAATGTGTTTATTTACGATCATTCTGACCAAAATAAAATATCTGTAGCATCAAATTACATCAGCATAATATGGTTTAATGTAAGGATAACTATGAGCTAAACTACGCCACCTAAGTTCCACTTAGGTTTACATTGCTTGTCACAAGCCACTCCTTGTTCACTGAAAGGGTCAAGTTATCAAGCTGAAATTTGGGATAACGAAATTGATGCACGAATCCCGTATTTAAGCATAAAAGTTTCAGATCAAAATTTCAGAATGGCAGATGAGCTCATCTTGGAAAATTTTTTAAATCGCATGGGGGTAGAAAGTGGTCAATTTCCGAACATTGTGTTTTGGCGAGATAATTTTTCTAATTGAGCAATTTGTAAACTCTTAAAACGATAGGGGCGGAAGCAGCACGTGCCACAAATAACGGTTTAGGCCGCTGTAACCGCGGAAGGGCGCTTTCCAATCGTTTTCATTGAGCCTGGCGACAGTCACATTCGAGCAGCTTGTGATTCGTTTTTGGACCGTCTCAATGCTATAATTAAGCCAAAGTGAATTATTTCTGCATTTTCGAATATTTTCACACATTCTGTACTTTGGAATAATTAAAAATCATACCAAATGGACTTGTTTGCTTTTCATCCCTGTAGCGATAACAAACCGCAGACAGTGTTGTTTTGTAAACATAAGCAACTCATCGTCTCCAAGATTAGACCTCTGTGTTGATGAGCTCCATCTGCAGTTGGTTAGGGTTACAGGGATGGAAAGCTAAGTTTCAAATTGTGTCTATTTACGCATAATGTATGCATAGAAAGCCATTGGATTCTTAATATTTCGTTTCCTTGATGAATTGACCGAAAGTTTGACGCGACCTCTGTACATGGTGCAAAACGTCGAGTTATGAGCAAAAGATGTAGCGGTGTTCTGTCATCTTCGTCGTATGGGATGAGAATGGCAATTTCCTTGGCGTTCCTCAACTACTTACATGCAAGATCTTTTCTTTCGCGCTTAAATATACTATTCACGAGTCACTTTCATTATCCAACTCTCTGCTTGCTAACTTGACCCTTATAAGAATAGGTAAGTTTTGATCCCTAATATGAAAAGTAATTGATTTTGGTACTTTAAACTCTTTGACTATTCATGTTTTGAATGTTACTTACCCAGCACGAAGGTTAGACAAGGAGATCAAGGATGTACTAGAGGACTACAGTCAGGATAACGAAAAGAAAGTACAGTTGCTGACTGGAAGGAGAGTTACCCTAGCTGAAGAACTGAGTAAGTCATATTCTTGGATAATAGTTGCATGTGTTTTGCACACAGTCTCAGAAAACGCTCATCTCGCTTTAGTTTGCACATTCTTTTTACCAAAATTCAGTTTACACTACTTCAGCTACGTAAGATTTGTCCTCACTTGCAGCTTTTAGGACAAGTTTATTTTGTTTACGTGCAAAATTCACCGAATTCAAGTTGTAAGATTTTTAACCTTGCTTACAATAATATTAGTATCGAGATTTTTTTATGCAAATAAAATGTTCTAAATAAAACAACTTTTAACAAGTACAAAATGAATCGGTAGCGAACAAAAAAACAAAACAAAATATCGTTGTCTACCTGGCATTGTCGAATCCGTGAGAATTATGTGTCCCCTGCCGATATGGGGAATTTTGAAATATTACTACGTAATCAGCTGTCATTCTACCATAATGGAAAAGACTATATGTCAACAAACCGTAAAAACGAGATATGTGATGTATCTGAAGTCCATGATCAATTGAAGAAATGTTTTGTTTTTTTTTAGTTTTTTCTGGTCAAGATTAACTCGATACTTTTTGAATTCTGAAGTGAGCCAGACGTTCTCTGATTTGACTGCGCTATCTCTATTTGGACCGTTTCATTTCACAGTTATACATGAGAAATTACATTTTACAAAAAAACGTACTTGCTATTTGTCTCATCCGTATTCTGATGCAGTGTCATCCAGATTTGTTCCATAAGCAAATGGGCCAAATAGTGCACGCATCATTGAATATAAATTGTAATCATTATATTTTTTATTAACTAGGTTAGGTTGTAATACCGGGTTTACATGCAGCCACTGCCGCTGCCACTCGCGCTTCCCACTGTCCTGCCGTAAATAATTCCACAGCAGCATTTGGAGCAAGTGACTGTTTACATGCAGCCACTCGCGCTGCCCACTGTCCTGTCGTAAATAATTCCATGGCAGCATTTGGAGCAAGTGACTGTTTACATGCAGCCACCCTTCTAACCTACGATAAACTGCTTCCAAAAAACTTTCCATTACATCAATGCAAATGCAAACCAAATGGGCTGACGCACCTCATCTGCACCCGCTCCTGCATCTAATCGAAGCCTTTTTCTTTTTTAATAGCTGCCGAAATGTTGCCATTAGCTATTTTTTTCGAATTAAGCTCTTGTATTAGGGTGTTTTTCAATCCTACCATAATAATCTTTCAGCCGCATATAGCTCTAAAAACTTCAATACTTGATCATTGCTTCACTCAATCATGGTCCAAGTGTATTTTAAAACAAATAATTTGCCAAAAAAGGAATAAATTAGGTTAAGATACCCCGCGTCCACGTGGAAGGACAGGACTGACTGTTGGTACAGCGAGCAGCATCTAACCGGTCTCTGCCGCTCGTGCTGCTGGTCCTTTGCTTCCGTCCAAAAAAACGCGAACGAAGGGAGCATGCGGCAGCGGCATGAGCATGGCGATGCGATTTGCGTATTTACATATTGGCGCTGCCCACTTCCCTGCTCTCTGCCGTGAAATTGAACTGCATGTAAACCCTGTATAAGATTGAAAAATGTTATACTCTTAAATTGTGACAACTGCTGTCAAATCTAACGTGATTTATTATTCGTTTCAGAACGAGTACGCCAGATTCAAGAAAAATTAGAGGAATTCATTCAGGCTTTAAACAAGGAGAAATAAGTTCTAGTCTATATCTTTTTAGGTCAAAATGAACTTTGAACTATTGTGAACAGACCATTTTTGCATTTGCTCTAACGTGTGAGTACTATCCCGGTACTATATACATGAATTTTACTATACCATTATTTTTGTTGGATTTTTGTTAAGTTTGTTATTTAAAAGGGTAGGATTTGCATGACAGAGCAAAACTCTTATTGTAAGGGAATATTGTTTTAAAATACCAATGTATATTTTTACTTGATGTATTTTAACTATCTCTTTACAATTATATCAATGTTATTAAATAAAAAGTGCTCTTGACATTTGAATTATTGTGATGATTAATTTATGCTAAACAATGTAAATATTGTCAATACTCCAAGCACATTTCTTACAAAAATAAAAGAATGTTCCAGGAACGAGTGTTTTTATTATATACAAATTACACAATTCAGTCCATTAACTGTAGATTATCGAACTTTTCAGTATCATAAAACAATGCTTTGACCTGTCTGCCACCAAAAAATCTACCATTCAAGTCCACAACAGCTTTGATAGCACTTTCAATTCTGAGAAATTCCACGAATATTCGTACAGCCTCTTCATGGTTGTCAGTAGGTATCTCGTGGATGATGACGCTGGCGACAGGGCCGTATTTAGTGTTGCATTCGTCTTTTACTTCAGGTTCCAAGTCGTCGTCCACTTCGCCTGGCCCTACCATATTCTTAAGCAACACAACCTACAATAAAAACAGGGTGATTCATGACGACGTAGTGACCCAAGCCTACATTTTTAAATGGACAACCATACATTTCATTGCAGATTTGGACAGGCCCCTCCAAACGAAGCAATTTGATATAACATATTTTAGGGTTCTTTTTTCAAATTGTTGAAATACTCAACAATATATCGAAGAGGACGCACAATTTTAACAACTCCTATCTCCGCAACTGTTGCACAGCTAGAGTACTGAATTTTTTGTCAGAAAAAACGATGATTCCATGTTTGCTTCCTATCTACTTATTTTTCCAGTTTTTTAGTTAGTTTTGACAGTATGGTCAAGAACAAAAAATGGATTATTGCTCAGAATTTTTAAATGGAACATATTCTGTATTTTGACATACTTTGATCTCCTTTAAATTCTTTTTTCTGATATGGGGTATATGGGAGTTTGTACGACTGGTTTTTGAGTTACTAAAAACAAGAGCGACACCGTGTTTAATACTTTATTGCATTAGGTTAGGTAGATTTAATTCAAAATGAAAGTAAACCAATTCTAACGATCTGACGTTACCAAGTAAGCGGTTTTTATTTTGAAAGGTATTGTAATATTTTTCATTTACAAAAGGATTACTGTAACTCAAAAACCAGTTGTTCAAACTCCCATAAACCTTATATCAATAAAAAGCTTTTGAAACGAGGAATCAAAGAATTTGAAGATATACAGGGTCTTCCAGTTTAAAGGTTTGAGACATCGTTCATTTTGCGTTCTTAACCACCCTGTTTAAACTATCATAAAAACAGAAAAAGTAAGTGGATATGCAGAAAATGTGGACTCTGGCAATAAATTTTTACTTAACTGTAACAGTTTGCGGAAGTACGAGTTGTCAAAGGTGTTTTTTCAATATACATATTGTCAAATATCTCAAAAATTTTAAAATAAAACCCTGCAGTATCTTATACCAAATTGCTTCGTTTGACAGTGCCTATCCCAATCTGCAATAAAATGTAGGACTTTCCGTTGAAGAAAATTTATGTTTTTGTCACCACCTAGTTATAAATTATCTTGTAGAAACAAGGATATCGTCCAAATAAAAAGCATACTGTTACCTACAATTTTTGTTATTAATTTTTTGAGATATCGTGCGCAATAACGCAGCTATCGACTGAGCCCAAACTAAAAACTGTGACCTGGCATGACAATCTTGACATGATCGGAACTATATCCAAATGATCATGGCAGTGTCGAAATTATCATAGCAGGGCACATGTGTGACTGCAATGCGATATCGGAATTAGTTTCAAGTCGAAATTCAGTTAGAATGATGCATTTTGTTCAAGGCAAGTTTTGAGTTCCGGTTGCCTTTGCGTACAAATGCTCGAAAAAATGAGAAAAACAAGTATTTTGGAAGGAACCATGAGTAATATCGAATATGAAACGGAAACTGTTCTTTGAAAATTGAAGATCTTAACTTAGTAGCGTTTCTGAAAAAGAGCGCGGGCGATTGAAAAAAATATGGAGCGGGATATACTTCTAGCTCCCAAATATCGATTATTCAATTTGTCTGAACACCTGAGCCTCTGGGGAGGGTGGTGCTCAATGGGTTATGAAAGGATCCAAGGTAATGAGAAAAAATAGCACTTCAAGGAAAAAATGAGTAGTGGAAAAAATAATGAATAAAAATGAATCCGTGAGTCCTGCTGAGCCCCTACAGAACTTTTAGCAGCCTCTTGTTTCTTGGGAATCACACTTTGTATGACTTAGATAAATTTGAAGCATTGAATTTGTATATGAAAATCGAGAAATGTCGTGAGACCGAAAAAATATGTACAGACCACAATAAATAATAACGTGTAGTCATTGATTAACGTATTTTACCTCGAGATAGGCAGCCTAGTACTACGTTCGCGCATCGAAAAGCTATCAGAGGTGAAATGAGATGCCATAGCGTCATATATGAGCATTTATAACAGCTCCTCTCCACATTAATTAGAAGTCTACTTTGAAAAGGTTAGTTTTTCTTAGATGGCGGCGCTGTAGCTATATGCTCATTTATAGTTGGCTACAGCGCCGTCCATGAGACAATGTTTTCAAAGTTAGATATCTAATTATTGAGAAGAGAGGAAACATAGCTGTGACGAAATTAACATAGATGACGCTACGGTTTCTCATTTCACATCGATAATTTTTGGACGCGCTTAGCATAAGGTAGAATATGTTGATCAATGGAGGAGGGTTGCATGCCACAGGAATACTTGAGCCTGGAAAAATTGAGGGTACCAAGATGAGTACATTTAGGAGTCCAGTGCTGTTCCTCTTCCGTTGAAGCTCGAACCTACCTTGCTTGGGTTTTTCATTATTTCTGTGATGGACGGTTCCTGCTTCTCTTGAGTAGCTAGTGCCATAGCGGCAGCATTGGCTGCAGCAGTAGCCGCGGCAGCTTCAGCAGCAGTTTGTTGTGCAAGAATTTCTTTCTCATGAATTATGCGGCCGCCTCGTTTTGAAGTTTTTTCAACCTACGTTGCAGGAAAACATGTAAGTTGAAGTAGCCAACTATAAATTGAGTCGGTTACTTACATTCAGAATTTCGATTCTGAATAGTCCAGGATAGACATGTTCTGCTAGAAAGATTATAGTTGTTAAGTTTTAGCAGAACTACATTCTTGGACTATTCGGAATCTAAATCGTGAATGCCTGATTAGGCCATATCATTTCTAATGACAGTTCTAAACAGGCTATAGTTCTACTGCATTATCTAGCTACACTAGAATAGCCCATAACATACAGAAGTATTTTTAGTATGGCTCGGCTATATTGCTACATAAGTTTGACATTTCCGACCTCTTCTCATACATAGGGTGTAAACGTTATGATAGTCATTATTTAAATGGGTGATAGAGGGGGTTAAAAGAAGCAAAAAGTTTCATATAACATGGGGGGCATTTTTTAGAGAAAAAGTGACTTTAAAGTAAAATAAAACTGGCAATGCGAGACGCAAATTACGACGGAACGCAGTGTAAATAAAGATGGAGTTTGTTACTTTTTGGCTCTTAGCTATTATTTCATTATTTGATAATGTACTCGTAAAATGCAAACAATTAAAAAAACGGACTTACCACTAACTGTCTCAGCGATTTACCTGGTGTGTGAAAGTTTATTGAACGTATTAAAAAAATCGACTTATAAATAGGGAACACAATTTTGATACATACATTGTTTTTCTTTTAAAACCCACACTGCACTTTTTTGTATTTAAAGAAGGTGTCCAAAGTGCCGTCCTCCACTTTCCATACAAGCTTCATTACGACGAACCCAGTTTCTTCTTACTCTAGGTCCTCGAAGTTGTCCATTTATTATTTCAGCTGCATTAACTTTTTTTCGCGGAGTTGTGCTTCAGTTGTTATTGGACCAGCCCCATAAACCATCTCTTTAAGTTCTCCCCAATACCAGAAATCCATCGGATGGAGGTCAGGAGATTTGGATAATGTTCATTCAAATACTGAATGACGCCTCTAAAAATGTGTGGTGGTGCCCCGTTGAAGAAACCACAAATCCTCTCTCTGTTGTAATGGCATGTTGTCTAAGGTCTGTTCCAAAACTTCTGGTAGTTTATTAGCTAGAAAGCTAAGGTATCCTTCTCCTGACAACTTTGGGGGTAACTCTAAAGGGCCAATTACCTGATCATCAAGAATATCCGCTCAAATATTTATTTTTAAACGTTGTTGGAAATGACCTCACGAATGGTATGAGGATTTTCTTGGGCCCACGTGTGAGTATTATGGAAATTTAATATCACGTCTCGCATAAAAGTACATTCGTCCGTCGCTAGAATGTTTTTATACGAGATTTTCAAAGTTTTTGTGCAAAAACCAGTGACAGAATGTTAGTCTGCGAGGATAGTCTTCTGGTAACAAGGCCTGCACTCGTTGTACATGGTAGGGATAAAGCAAATTTTCTCGTAGGATTCTATGGACTATGGTATGCGATAGTCCTAAGGGGTGGCCTAATTCCCGAGTGCTGATATATGCATTGATTTTCCACGATATTTAAAATTTATTCCTCCTGCTCTACAGTAACCTGTCTTTCACGAGAGCGAATATTAGTGAGCTGAACACTTCCTGTATCTCGAAGTCTTTGGTACACTTGTACAAATGTCCTTCTGTCTGGGTGTACCCGTTGGCGAAATCTGTCGCGATAAATTTGAGCTGCAAGATTTGAATTCTGACGAGCTTCACCGTAAACTAACAACATGTCGACGAACTCTTGATGCGAGAACATTGTAAATAAACACGACGACGAACGCGAACAATAACAAAACAACAGGCCCGATGCCCGATAACTAACCACTGTTACCGTTTGCGATCGATTGCCGGTTCGATAATATTAATTTAATGAAACTTCCTTACTGACTGCCTACAAATTTGCCTTAGAAAAACTTAATGCCATTTATTTGTTAATTACCCAATTTAAAAACGTTTTAGATTAGATTATAAAAATTAATGAGATTGCAGTGATTGTGGTCGATATAAAGCACTTAAAGTTGAATACTATAAAGCCATTTAGACAAAAATCTATTGACTTTTGGACCATGGGTCATATGAACTTTATGACTTGTTTTGACCCACCTATTACCCATTTCAATAATAACTACCATAAAGTTTACACCCTGTATATTGCTGTCAGCCTGCCGAATTATTGGAATCCTACTTATTGCAATATGTAAACTGCTACTTTGTAGTCCTTCTGATGAAAAATTTTGACAAGAAGTGTATATGTCCTGACACTGCAGACAATATTGTCAAGATATAGCCGAGATATATCTGATATAGCCGGCCATAATGGTCATGATGGCTGGACATTAGTTGCCATAGTCATAGCCAAATTTAGCTATAAAATATTGCTCCTTTAGATGCTCCATCATATACAGCAAGGTAACTACTTAAAAATTACGTTTTTGAGCGCGTTAAATAGTCGGAATACTCTGTTTATAAAACCGCGTTATGCGCGTTTTGTGATACGCAAACCCCTCATATCGCCGAAGGTTGGGTTTTGTGTTGCTATTCATTGACGAGGCTACACTAAGACGGGCTGCAAAAATTCTTAATTTCGATTCAGAATATATCAAATTCAGAAACACTGAACTTCTGCTTCATCTGAAAAATATTCATCACCTATGCAGAATCGGATTCAGAACATATAAGAGAGACCTTAAGGCGAATGTGACATGCATTTAATGCAGTCCATATCATCACTATTTACTGATGATTTAATCAGTGTGTTAGTGGATTTCCATGTAACCTTATGCATCATTCCCTCATTGAAAGCTCTCTCAATATCTCAACCCTTTAGGTAAGACGGAATCAGAGGGACCTGTCACTATTTTATAATATTTTGCACTCTCTTAGTTTTGCTCCAGAACTTTTGAAAAATATTAATCTCCATGTGCCTTCTCGTAAAACAAGACTAAATCAACCATTCCATGCGAGAACATTTCGTACTAATTATGCTAGTAATTCCTTCCTGTCCAGATCTTCAAGGTTAGCAAATCAGTATTCTAATAAATTGCATTTTTTCAGAAGTCAGAAAACATTCAAAATTCAGTTAGATTCCTGTCTGTAATATTTAATATTTGATTTTCCCATATATTTGAATTTCAATTAAATTCGTTTCAATTTAGAAATGATCAGGATTGTAAAGTATTTGCGATTGTTTTAAGTGTTAAATATCTAAGTCAAAGTAGGGTTAGGTTTACATTAGATTTTCTATGCTGTACTTTAATTGGGCAGTCGCTCGTCGATAAATAAATAAATAAATCATTAATTACTATGTGACATTCGCCTACCATCCTACACAGACATACGATATTTTATTCGGGTGCCCATGAGATGAGTATGACGCCAACGTAACGCTCTGGAAACGCCATATTGTTGCAGCCAATTTGCCTAATATACAATTAATAGCACAATCAACGCGCGATGCAGCGCAGATGAGGCGCGGTCGTAAAATGCACGTTGACGGCGCCTGGAAAAGTGCTGTGTCCCTATGGACATGGAAATAACGTAGCTGCCTGAATTTTTGACTTCACCTTTCGGATATTACAAAATATTCAACAGAAATCTATGTGTTCAAGTTTTATCTTTAGTATCTGAGACAGGTAAACTGTTTTGAATGTATGCGATCGCCATAGTCAATGTAAAGCCGCATACAGACAGAAAATGCAACACCGAGCAAATGAATGCAAGTACATGTGACGTTGGCGTTTGTTGTTGGAAGGTATTGGAATGCGCTCATCTACACCTAAATTTAGTTTCGAATTGGTCCGCGTCGGGTTAAGTTCGGTGCTAATGTCGAGCGACGAGTCTCCTCTCATCGAATGCAGACAAACGACTAAATACTAGAAGCGCAACAAATCCTGTCCAGACCACATCAAACCTCCCTTTGATGTACCAGCCAAGGAGCGAACGCAATCGAACGCCAACGTCGACCTTGGAAACTGTTGGCTTATGTTCGCTCGCGCCGTACACACTGATTACAACATCTCCAAATCTCTAACCACATGATCCGTGACTTGCATTGGAATCTCGGTCTGTATGGGGCTTAATGGCAGCTCCAGTTTATTCTGAGGTCCAAAGTTCTCATATTGTTGAGAAAACATTATTTAGACTTGCATTTTGCAGACGTTGTAGTAGTTTTTCAATTAATATATACGTCCAAAGCAATAAATCTTTTTTTTAGTGTTACATCACGATTATTATGTGTAAATTGCCCTAGTTCCGAGTCATACTCACCAGCAAAGCACTGGACATCCCTTGCTCCATCCTCCCAAGTCCTTGTCCTTCTTTAAACCCATACCTAGCCATAATCTTAGCTGCTATAGACCCACCATACGGCGCAGCAGCTGCAGGTTGCAGCTTGTTCAGCATCACAGGTTCGACAGTCTCCTGCAGGCTGGGCGGCGGTGCAATAGCCACACCCGCACTGGGGCGGGCAACTTTAGGTTTGGATTCCTCTTCCTCTTCATCCTCCTCCTTCCAGCGACCCGCGAAACCGCTGCTGATTGGCGGTTGGGTCATTTGAGGGGTGAGTTGCATCGAGGATGGTGGGGACATGCTCTCTGCAAATGCTAATTCTGTACAAAATGTTTAAGGGTTGCTTCCACTTTAATGTTAAGATTGTAAGACAAAATTCATGATTACACAGTGGCTGGCCAAGCAAGCAAGCAAAAAGTTACCTTTATGTACAGAACAACATAAATTGTTAGTGCTCTATGGCTATCTAAGTGCATGGTGTCACCATGTACAATGTGAAGATTGTAACTCAATTGTCAGTTACTTCAGCTGCATTAATGTACTCTTGGAATTGCCATCTTTGCTCTCTGCCCATGCTATATGCTATGTAAGTACTTGGCTAGCCACACTGTAAACATGATCCCTCTATACAAACATAGTAGCACTAATAAATCTTGTTCATCTTTGCATATATAATAATAATAAAAATAATACAGTTTTTTTTAACTCAACCCATGAGTTATATCAGCCGTTCCTGCTGATATGATAGGAATACTGCCGACGATGCTACTAATTTCCTAGAAGACCTAGAGTTTACTTTATTGTTCTCAACACTTTTTACAGTCAGTCAGATTTAAGCCTTTGTACTGTTAACATCATAATAACATTGTAATAATTTTGTAAAAGTACAGTTTTGAGTTTTGTATTTTCGAAAAATAAACTTTTAAAAAGCGATCTCGAAGCATCGATCTTATAACTCATGGAGCAAATATGGCCAGTACAAGGAAAGCACTTCAAATAGTCAATGTATTATGCTATTAAACTTTGCCTCAACTAGTTTTTCCTTCCAAAATCAGTTGTTCAAACTGGTCTAATAAAAAGCTTTGGTTGTGCTCCTGGATATTGTGAATTTTGATATTCAGGACTAGAACCATTATTAGTTTTGACTAACAGCCACAATAGACTAAAGAGTCACAATGGAGGATCGTTATTGATGCAACAGCACAACAACTCATGTCCTGTGATGTCCACAATGAAATTTCAGACAAAAATTGATATATACAAAAGCTTAAATCAAAAGAGAAATGAACATGTCCAGTTCATTCCTGAGGGTACTTCTACTCTCAGAGATAATTATAGTACATCTAGTAAAACAAATATTACTTTACCTTCTGGGTCACCAAATCTACTTTTCCTCTTCTTATCCTTGCGTTTCTCTTCCTTCTCATTGACTTTATCTCTATGATCCCTCATTTCCTTAACAACTTTCTCATATTCATTTGGCCATAATGGATCATATTCATCCACAACATTCCAGTCGTATTCACTGCTGTATATCGCTGAGCTGATGATTGGTAGCCTAGCTTCTGGTTTACTTTCACACTGCTGTTACCATGTATGGAGGTAATTTCCTCATCATCTTTTTTAGCTTTCAGGTCTATCACTGGTGCAAGGCTTGCCCTACGTATTTGCTCACGTTTTGGTTGGGTTACAGTCGCCTTTTTCAGTTGCAATTGAGACTGGAGCAGTTTTATGCTAGAAGACCAACCCTGTACCTTTTCTGTTGCTGTGGTTTTCACATCGTAGTCATCATACAGCGACATTCTACCGCTAAGCTTCTATCCTACACTAAAAAATAGTGAAGCATTTAAAAACAAATTCAAATATTATTTACTTTTTATTCTAGGATTTCAGTTTTTGTTTTGAGGTTAGTTTAAGAAAAGTATCAGTAAATTTGTTACCACAAAACATAATACACTCGATATCCAAGACACAGAACAAATAACTTCTGTGTTCTGTGTCAATTTGTGCTTACAAAAATTGACGCTGACAAGAAGGTAAGTCAACCGTGTTGCCATAAATCAAATCCAAGCGAATAACCAAAATTTCTGTGTTATGTGCCGCGTTATAATATGGTTCAAGATGACACACGGGTTGATGACGTCCGTTACACGAATCGCTTGAACGCGTTGGTTTTAACCGCGGTTTTGTTGCAAGTTGTTTATTTTAGAAAAGCGCGTATATAATCTCTGATTATTTTTATTATCACTTAATAATCGGTGCTTTTTCGTCTACAACTGTATATGGGAAGTTTAAATAAGAAACCTTTCATAATATTCATGGGAGAAATGTTTTTTTCAGATTTTTTTTTGAATGATGGAACCATGGCTTTGTAGCTATGATAACTTTCAATTCTCTAAATTTTTCCGCATGTCAAAGAAAACACTTATTGATTCAGCAGAAATGATGAAAAAAGAAATTGGCAAAACCGTATTCAGTTGGATATCATCTAGTGAGTTTATATAGCCATATTTTAATATTCTTGTGGTATATGGCTACACAGGATACTTTGTTAAGCATAGGAACTACATTTAAAGTGTCCCCCAACAACCGTAATGAGTATAACTAATAAGGTGCTCCACTTTATGGTAAAACTGAAGTCAGCCTGTATCAATTTTCTCAAACATGAAGCTGAAGTACAATAACAATATCCAATACCCGGCAAAATTCTAACTTGTCACATTTCAAATAATAACCAGAAATATAAAACTACTCTTGAGTTGGGTAAATATAAATCAAATTCAAGCGGATAACCAAATGGAAATGGTATTTACCATTTTGGGTTGGTATTTACCGATCCGTTCAAGCGAGTGTAGTTATCAGTTTGGTTATAAGATCCGTGCCGTCACGAATCAGCTGTTATATGTCATAGTTATCACCGCAAAATTGTGGTATTTACCCAACTCAAGAGTAGTTTTATATTTCTGGTTATTATTTGAAATGTGACAAGTTAGAATTTGCCGGGTATTGGATATTGTTATTGTACTTCAGCTTTATTTTTGAGAAAAATGATACAGGCTGACTTCAGTTTTACCATAAAGTGGAGCACCTTATTAGTTATACTCATTACGGTTGTTGGGGACACTTTAAATGTAGTTCCTATGCTTAACAAAGTATCCTGTGTAGCCATATACCACAAGAATATTAAAATATGGCCATATAAACTCACTAGATGATATCCACCTGTATACGGTTTTGCTAATTTCTTTTTTCATCATTTCTGCTGAATCAATAAATGTTTTCTTTGACATGCGGAAAAATTTAGAGAACTGAAAGTTATCATAGCTACAAAGCCATGGTTCCATCATTAAAAAAAAATCTGAAAAAAACATTTCTCCATGAATATTATGAAAGGTTTCTTATTTAAACTTTCCATATACAGTTGTAGACGAAAAAGCACCGATTATTAAGTAATAAAAATAATCAGAGATTATATACGCGCTTTTCTAAAATAAACAACTTGCAACAAAACCGCGGTTAAAACCAACGCGTTCAAGCGATTCGTGTAACTGACGTCATCAACCGTGTGTCATCTTGAACCATATTATAACCGCGGCACATAACACAGAAATTTTGGTTATTCGCTTGGATTTGATTTAAATATTTTGGGTGATAACTATGACATATAACAGCTGATTCGTGACGTCACGGATCTTATAACCAAACTGATAACTACACTCGCTTGAATGGATCGGTAAATACCAACCCAAAATGGTAAATACCATTTCCATTTGGTTATCCGCTTGAATTTGATTATTATTTGAATACCATGGAACCAAACGTTATCAGTTTAAAACCGGTCCCATTCGCCACATCGTGTGGGAGAGCGCTGATGGATTATGCGCGTCCCACACGATGCTTCCAACGTTGTTTACAACGTTCGACACCCCACGACCCCACAATTGGCAAGTGTGTCTCCAACACGATGGGATGAACCTTTTAGTCTCGGACGTTCGACGCATGGTGGCGCCAACGCCTATTATCGGTGTCAGTGTCGCACTTGAACCTTTACAACTGAAGGAAATTATACAAAATGAACGATAAAACAATTTTTTCGAGCGCCCAAAAAAATTTCAGATCTGTCTTCAGCGACAAATCAGAAGATTCAGAAAAGTCGAAAAACGAAGTTTGACCGTTTTTGTTTGTTTTTCGACGATAACTCCGCCACCACTATACCGATTTTCGAAAACTGCATAGCTATTTCGTCATTTTCATAGTAGTAACCTAGGGTCAAAATTCATCAAAATCGTGATAGTAGATTGAATAAATGATAACTCTCAAATTACTACGAAAATGTACGGAAAAGTTTTTGAAAATGGGTACAGTGGCAGTGTGGTCCCAGATTGATCTCGGCTCCTGTTATGCGGGTCCCACACGATGCTTCCAACGTTCGACACCCCACAATTGGCAAGTGTGTCTCCTACACGATGGGATGAACTTTTTAGTCTTCGATGCATGGTGGTGCCAACGGCTAATATCGGTGTCAGTGTTGCGCTTGAACCCTTACAACCGAAGGAAAAATTATACAAAATAAACGATGAAAAATTTTTTCGAGCGCCTAACAATAATTTTAGATCTGTCCTCAGCGATCAAGTCTGCCAGAAGCCTAAAAAAAGTCGAAAAACGACTACTAAACAAAGTGTTAGTAGGCGATGATCCTATGCCATCAGAAGATATTCTCATTCACTGTGGAGTTGATGCATTATATCCAATTATATAGAAAATGTTTCAGTTGAATAATAGTTAATACTTGTTCATGATGTTTATGTTAAATACTTTTTAGTTTCTTATGTACCTACACTCATAGTTCTTTTTTACTTTGTTTTTTGTTTTGTGATATATAATGCGATTGATATTAAGTTACCATGTTTATTTTAATAAAGATATATATTGTTAATGTTTTTTATTTTTTTCTTTCAGTTACCGAGACAAATGCATTGAATTTGTAGTAAAGATATTCGATAGAGTACATATTATATGGTTATGTGTGTTGATTATTTTATTTCGATATATTTATGGCACCAAAGAACTCCAAAAACAAATGCGCATTTTACAAAAATAATTGAATATTACAGAAAATAAGGGATACGAAGCTCAAATTAAAAAATATCGAAACACGATAAAACAAAGGTTAGATTTTCTCATATGACAGGAACCTGAAGGCTAAATTCGCTAAATTGGTCTTTTTATTAACCACCATTCAATGGAGCCGGTGGTTGACGTCATCACATTAGCTGTCAACAATAATTTCACCGGATCCAGCAGTGATGGAATCAACCGGTGAGCTAGAGGATGTGCCTATTCTGTCAGGGTGACAGCAAACATCAACACAAAAATCAAATCCAAGCGAATAATCAAAATTTCTCTGTTAAGTTTCGGATCAAAATTAACAATGTTTTGTCAACAACACGGCCAGTACGGGCCGGTATTCCTCAGGGTTCGGTCCTAGGACCAATTCCTTATTCGCTTTTAATCCATGATGTCCCTTCCCCCAGCAACTGTGAAGTCTACCTCTATGCTGACGACACTGCACTTGTCGCCCAGTCGTGTACTGGTGATCTGGTTCACGATGGGTTGCAGAATGCGGTGGACGAAGTTCTAGAGTGGGCGGAACCGTGGCTGATAAAAATTAATCATTCGAAAACGCAGGCTATTTATTGTACCAAAAAACGTCGCGGCCCCCCAGCAGAGGTTTCTGTAGACGGAAATCGTGTACCATGGACAAATTCTGCCAAGTATCTCGGTGTCACCCTTGATAAAGGCACAAACATACAGCATCCATAAAACAAAAATTCCAAATTGCGTTTCGGCAACTATATCCTTTGTTATGTAGATCCTTCAAATTGAGTTTGATAAACAAAGTTCGACTATATAAAATGATTATTAGACCAGCCATTACTTATGCATGTGCGACTTGGTGTTTTCTTGCCAAGACACACAAGCAAAGTCTTCAAGTACTGCAAAGCAGAACACATGAGACAGTACACAGAGACCTTGACATTCCTTACTTGAGGGATCATGTCAAGCTTCAGGCGCAGCGACGTTATAGTCAAGCGGAATCGCACAGCAACCCTCTGTTGCGTGACTCAGTGGAGCAAGTTCGTAAACATTCAAGGCCACGGCTCGCACTGTAATCAAAAGTTAGCGTGAATCTTTAGTAAACTCAAAATTAGACGCTAACAAAACGAATCAAAAAATTTGTTTAATTCACCTCAAAATTAATCCGTGTACCAAGTCAAAAAGCCTCTAAACTAAGCATATCTGCTTTTCTTTTCTCTTCTCCTTTTTTCTTCTCATTTCCCTTTCTCTTTTTCCTTGACTTTGTCTGGTTTCTGGGCAACCAGGACTGACAGATTCGACTAACGTACATCAGACAGTGACTAATGGGCAAAGGTCCTACGGACCGCCCAGATAAACAAATGACGAATAGCTACGCCTACCGACAACGGAAGCTGAAGAGACGCACGTCAGCCCGCAGCGTGTAGTACGCCGGTACGTGCGCCGGTACCGCTATTTCTTCTGCGTCGTCATTGTTTGGAATTTAGTCAGGCGTTTTTTCCACCACCTAATCTCTTTGGCATTTACGTAAACATTAGAACATCAGAAAAAACGTATCACAAGTTTATCACAAAAAAAGAAAAGAAACAAATAGACAGATCATCCTACCTGAAAGCAACTTAAAATAAACGCATAAAATGTGCACAATTTTCCCAACAGATCATTTTAAATGAAACACTAAACTTTTTATTATTTTCAATATTCCCGATATTAGAAGGAATCAAATTGTAAAATTTAGGGACATATAATTTGTATATACAAAAAAACTACATATACTGCAACGATATATTTATAAGATTTTAATATTGTTAATTGCTTGCATAGTGAGATAAAATCTAGGTTTTTTTTAGAATAGTCCTTATAATATGGTTCTGGGGGCACCACAAGTGCTTTGTAAATCATCAAAATCTTTTTATTTTTCTCAAGTACAGCACATGCTGGTCCGACTGTCAGTATTGCCGCTTGATAGACAAGCGCGCGTACCCCACTCTGTATAATGGGTTGTCTAGCATTACGCGGACTATCTCGGCAAACATCAACGGGAAAAATTGCCCTCATACAGTTCTGACGTTCTATGTATTGACATGACGCACATATTTTTATTTACCCATGTGCATTAGATGAAAGGAATGCGACGTCCCCCGTTTTTATGTCTTTTGAAACTTAAAAATCAAAATATCTTTTTCAGTTATTTTTGATATTTAACCGGTTTCAATTCAATAACGATAATATGTCGGATTCCAAATCAAGTTGTTCTGGAAGAGAGAAGCACAACAAAAGATGCGATACTCTCGAATACAGAAAACAAAACAAAAAAAGGAGCGGAATCTTTGAAGAAAACCAAACATAGACAGCAAGCTTATAGGAAAGAGTGGGAAACAAAAGAGACCCCCCCCGAGAAGGAAGTTTCCTTCATCATGAATCCTGAGAGAATCTATTTAGGGTACGGTGTAGGATAATTTTGACGTATTTGTACGATAATTCCCCGCGACGAATCTGGCAACGCTGCACACCACAGTCAGATTGTCTTGACAGATTGACGATTGACCCTATTGCGGTCTGTGTTTGCGTATTAATGTTTTGTGGTTGTTTAGTCTAGTTTCTAAATAGTTGTGTTGTTTAGTTTTTTATTAAATAACTACAATCACTATTTCCTATGCTGTGGTTAGTTTCCTGATTGCTTGCAATTTATTCCTTCCTTGTATTGCTTATATTTTTTGGATGATGATGATGTGATGATGATTACAGATGATATTTCTTATTTTTACAGCATTTTTGAGGATAGCTATATAATTTTTCCCACTATGAAAAACAAAACAGTCTAAATACAGGGCAAGATCCGTTTATACAAATTGTGACCAGATACAAACTAGACTGAATCATGTCTGAGAATTCAGTTGAACCTACGGACACAACAGCAACTGGTGGCGATGGTTCGTCTCAAGTGGGTGGTGGTGAATCTGGGGCCAAACAAGAGCAGTATGCATCACGTTTGACCAATCTGGAGAAAATTCAGATAAAGAAGCAGACTGTACTGTCTTACCCTCTAAACAAGAAACTGTCAAAGTTAGCTGTTTATTCTAGATGCCAGGTAACTTGGTACTTCCTCAGAACTGCAGTATTGATACTTAATATGCCTAACTGAGCCTTAACATAAATCTCACTGAATTTTTGGTCTTAGTAATGGAAAATAGTATACAGCATGGCAAATTTTTCATTTTTCCTTCCCATGACTACAAGTGGTAGTGACTGAGCAAACACATATGTAATTTAGGATAATGATTTTGAAAGTGATCATAAGAAGATCCAAAGATGTTGCAATGTCCTGTTTAAAGTAAGAGAACTTTACCTAACTCTTGTATTCCTGCTGTATTGTAGACCCCAGTGATAAGTAGTGCCACAATGCAATTTATAGTAATAGCTCCTATTGATACTACTTACTACAAGTTTAATACTTGTACTATTGATTAACATATTCTCCTAGAAGATGCCCAACCATGTGCTGTATTTGGATACATCATCCATTTTCACAGCTATATTGCCAGGTAGGATCATAGTAAATAAATCAATGATTTTTGTTGTTAAACATATCATCCTCCCAAAGAAAGATCACCATTCAACCTATCTTGTAATTATTCCTAAGATTTTGAATTCTTAAAATTTCTCATCGACAGAAAAGGAAATCCTATATCCTGTACCAGCAATTTGAAAGGTGGCAATGCTGGTTAGTAAAAACAATGGTCGACAACATATATAATTGTAAGCATGAGTGGTTGGTGTACATTTGTCTATTTTCATGTAAGTAGGACTTCCGATTTAGTTGGGTATCTTTTGGTGGAATATGTTAATGAATGCTTATATATGATTAGTTGATTTCTTTCTTAGGCTGAAAAATGTGACTGCATAGGATGGAAAAGGACTGACAACTCTATGCAAAATCCTACATTCACAGATTTTTGCAGATGTGAACATACATTGGGTATGTTTATGTTTATATTGTTTTTGAAATACAACCCAGTAATAAAAAATCACTTGCTACATGTTCTAAGAATGTCTCCTCTAATAGCAATATCACAATATAAACATGTGCATAAATAACATACTGCACATCAATACAATGTGCTAATAATATATTACAAACTTCTATTTGGAGCAGATATCCCACATTCCAAGGATGTGGTGCAGCATGCATTCTAAGAATACTTATATTTGGTGATTTGGCAAGGTTCTATAGCATATCCATTTAACATATGTTCTTAGAATGTGCTCTTCAAGATCTTCACTGTAATAAGGGTATTCACATCAGGTGATTGGGTGAAGTCTTCCTAGAAAGCGCACATACATCCCATGGATGTTTATTAGGTGTTCGCAGTGGATATCCAGAATATTCACTAGATGGACAGATACGTTCAGTAGATATCCATTTAAATATCCAATGTTGGCACCCATTTTTCAGAAATGCATGTGTCACACTTAAAGCAGAAATCTGAGGAGGAATTGAACCGACTTCTAGTTATGGTAGTTGATGTTGATAATATGTATACAGCAATGACTAAGCAAGAGAATATAGAAACAAAGAGATTATACTTGTATCTATTCAGAGTAAGTATTATTTATAATATATAAAATATGCTGTATTTAAATCAAACACAAGTGCACAACGTCAAATCATCAAATTTGTGTACTCCTATTGACTAGCAAGCCAAAAATTTTGGGTATGCAAATGAGGTAAAAAAGAAAATATAAAAATTTTATATTATTGTTTCAGCTGCTAAGAAAGTGTGTTTTAACATTGGACACACCTGTGGTTGAAGGACCCTTGGGCCAGCCACCTTTTGAGAAACCATGTATACACAAAGCTGTCACCAATTTCCTAGTGTATAAGTTCTCTCATTTAGGACAACAAGAGCTAATAACTATGTATGAGTTGGCCAAGATTCTTTGTCATTGCCTCAATACTTGGGACTTTCCACCACCTAGTAGTCAGAAGCACATTGTAAGCCAAGAAGCTACCAAGTACAAGATTGAATATACCAGGTGTGTATGGTTCAGAATTTATTGTATAAGAGCTTTGTCACATGGTGACATATTCTTCAGAAAGATGCTCAACCTTATGCTTTATATGGAGGTTCACTAACAATTTCCGTACTCCAAGATTTTGTATAACCAGAAGTAATAAAAACTGACACAATTATCTATTCAAAGAAAATTGTTCATTCTTCAATATGACACTAACCTTCCACTGAATGACCACCCTTAACCGCACTTGTGATCAATTCTAAGATTTGATATTCTCAGGGCCAGCTTATGCATAGCTAAGTTGAGTTAGCTGAAAGTTGTGAGTTTCTTGATCTCGAACATGTAGTCAAAGCTAGCTCATAGCAAAAGTGATGTTTAACGTACTTAAGCCTTAGCAGAATTGCCAAAGAGAGGTTGACAATTTGTGATTTTACCATTATCATATTTTGTATGAATGTGCCCCCGAAACCACCGGCCTCGACAGCGGGTATCGCTTAAACGCACTTCTTTTGAACAGTGGAGGCATATGGAGTGCTAAAGCTTGGAAACCCTGAACATTTTACAGGAAAACATGTCAAGCATGTGTATTTCAGGAGCAGACTGCATTCTGAAGGGGGCACCATAATTGTATAAATTTTAAAAGTACAAATGTAGTCACAAAAATCTTGCATTTTTGTAGTGCAATTTTTACCTGTTATCAATATGTTTTATCGTGAATTTAGATAATAGCTTTTAAAAGAACAGAGCAGGATGCACAGGATGTGAATTAATTTTGTTTGATCAGCTTGAAATTCGATCAGTTAACTATACATGTGCTTACTCTCATTTTACAAGAAATAGCGAAAGTTGTATCGACGGCAATTTTTGATTTCCAGTAAGGCAGGTAATTTTAATTTAATGAATCTTGCATCAGAGATCAGAAACTCATCTATATGAAGCAAAATTGAAAGAGAAAAAATGGAGGCACATTATTCTTATATTGATTAGAACTACATAAATAGTACAATAGTACAGCATATTTTTCATAGACACTACTACAATTGTGTAAAATTTCTTGCTATCTTTAAAATAGATTCTTCTCCCTGCAAGAATCTCAATCACTATCTAAATCTGAAAAATAATATTTTCTATAAAAAAACTATCACAAATAAGTATAAGATAAACTAAAATATTCAACAGAATTGAATCAGATACTTGCCCTATATAAACATTTTTTCATTTGCATTTGAATATCAAAAAAATAATTGAAATTGCCATGAATGAGCAACCAGAAGTCTAAATTTCCTCTTCAACATTATATTCCTTAATGAATTCAACTCTATCCCAAAGTTCGTGGTTTGAATAGTGCACTCATATACATAATTATACCTATCTGTATTGTGTTCTGTTCCTGAATAATAATTCAGTACTGTACCCTTCTTCAGTCGAAATCTTCATATGAACTCCACATTATCAGATGAGTCAATATTCAGGAGGACATTAAAGACTTTTAGATCCAAGTGATATGTGGCTTTTATGTTTGTGTTAAATGAAATTGTAGCTTAAAGCTAAATAAGCACAAATATAATTTTCACGTTGTCGGATCCTATGAGGCCATCTCTCATGCTGTAAGAATTCCATAATTCATGAACAAACATGATGGAAAAGTATGACAACGGTAAAATAACAAAATTGTCAATGTCTTACAATTCTGAGACTTTAGTAGGTTAACCTAGCTATTAGTCTTGAGACTGATAAACACTAAGGTAGTGGTCGCCAATAAACGCAGTATGCCGGCTATACTCGTAGCGTTACGCCATACGTCGCGTCTCTATGCTAAATATAATAAATAATGGATGCGGTCTCTTATTGTACGCCGAACGCGACGGGAAACTGCTGTACGCACCTATGATGTTGATGTTTAGTTATTTTCGAGCATTGTAGCGTACCTACTGCACGCATTTTTAACCTTGCGCAATGAGTCAATTTATTAATAAAAGAGAAAAAGACGAATTGTTAATTGAATTGGTCAAAAGCAACAGGTCAATATATGATGCCAGTGATAAGAATTACAAAAACAATATTGAAAAAGACAAATGTTGGGAAAAAATAAGTGAAATGATTGAAATGTCAGGTAAGTTTTTAAAAATTATTTATTTTTAACAATTACATATAAATTAATGAATACATAAATGTATTGTGTTATATATGGGCATCTTGCCAAGTCAATCTTCCCTGTGGTGAACATAGGTATTGTTTTAGTTCATTTCTAATAAGTACTGCTGAAACTACTTCAGTTCCACCCGTACGTCGCATAGGTCGCATATTTTCGGTAGGCATTTCTTTACTGTCTTGCAAATTATGAATATTTCCAGTATTTTTATCTGATATCAACATATTATGTAGACAACAGGATGCCATAATCAGATTGTCTATGGTATCGAGTTCCATATGTATAGGTGTATGAAAAACTCTAAATGTGTTTGCCAAAATGCCAAATCCGCTTTCGACGGTTCTGCGAGTTCTGCTCAGGCGATAATTAAATTGCCTTTTCTCAACATCTTCTTGGCATTGAGTAAAAGGGTATGGTTTCATTAAACGGGGAAGCAACTTAAATCCGCCATCTCCGACTAAAAACTGGGGTAAAAATATATTTGAGCCAGGCAATTGTAAGTCAGGGGGGAATGGAAAGGTCCAATTTTCAATGTGTCTTCCCATAACCGACTTTAAAAATCTACCACTATCACCTTCTTTTCCATAGGAACCAATATCCACACATAAAAATTTACAGTCGGCGTCTACTAGAGCTAATAAAATAATAGAGAAAAATTTCTTGTAATTAAAATAAAGAGACCCTGAATTGGGAGGACACCTTATACGGCCGTGTTTACCATCAATAGCACCGCAACAAGAAAATTCCACTTAGACATAAACTTTTCGCCAACTTTTTTTTAAATATCTTCTGTTAACAGTCGGTAAATATAGAGGTACGAGATGTTCGCACAAGGCTTTTAACGTCACTCTTATGATTATGGATATGTAGTTATGTGATATTCGAAATTGAAAAGCGAGTGACCGCATGCTTTCTCCAGTAGCCAAATACCAGAAAAAAAATCAAATTAATATCACAAACTTATAAGTTTCAGAATGCAAAAAACGTTGGAAAAGTCTCCGAGACCAATACAACAAAAAGAAAAAAGATTATAGAGGTACGAGATGTTCGCACAAGGCTTTTAACGTCTCTCTTATGATTATGGATATGTAGTTATGTGATATTCGAAATTGAAAAGCGAGTGACCGCATGCTTTCTCCAGTAGCCAAATACCTGAAAAAAAAAATCAAATTAATATCACAAACTTATAAGTTTCAGAATGCAAAAAACGTTGGAAAAGTCTTCGAGACCAATACAACAAAAAGAAAAAAGATTACGGAACTGGATCAGCAAGAGTAGATACAAGTTGGGAATATGGAACACTGATGTCATTTTTATCAGACAGTGTACATGATAGACGGTATGAATTTTTTTATTTCGTTACAGCGAAATATTATCGAACAGCTAGTTAAAAATATACTAAACATTTTTTTTTTCATATTTCGGGGCACATTGTTTAGTCTAATTCCAATTTAATCTAGTTTTTATCTTTCCTGTCTACTTTAGTATCATTTATACCAATTTGTAGGGAAACTAAAACAAGTCAATCAGCGTGTCAGCAGATATCATCGCCTATGCAAGAAAACATTCAAGATGACACGCAAAACAATGGACAAGAAGTCACGCAAGATGAAATACAAGAGGACATACAACATTCATTCGACGATACACATAAGAAAATGCAAGAAAACACACAAAGGCAAATGCAAAAGAAAGATAATGCAGAACAACAGCGCCCATCCAAACACCAAAACCCAAAAAAGTAGGCATGATTCAACACTAGAATTACTAAATAAAAGAGAAGACGAACGATCTCTAGTATATAAAAAGATTTTTGAAAAACATTCTCCACTACAGCCATCAGCAATACGAAATTTTTTTGACTCGATGGCTGATGTGGATACTTTTCCACTATGTGACCAGGCAGACATTCGACTAAAAGTCTGTCAGTTGGTCACCGAGAGAGAGATTCAACTTAGTACACCACAAACCCCATATGTTGCAGCTCCAGTGTCATCCGATAATTCGAGTGCTATGACAGTATCGACCCATTATGTTGCAACGCCGATGACATCTGATGAATCAAATACACCACAGACACTGTATGTTTCGACTCCGATGCCATCAACTGATGATTCGAATTTTACTTGGTTGTAACATGTTGTATAATATTAAGGGCTAACACTGAGTGTATTGAAAAACACTGTGAGTATTGCATTTCACAATTTACATTAAATAATAAACATTATATTGTGATTTGTATATATAGGTCACCTACAGGGAATTTAGATTTATTTCTATCTACGCTTGATGAAGTTTTAAATTATGTGTATGCCCCAAATAAATATCTGCTGGTTTGCGGGGATTTTAATGTAGATTTCTTAGTTCATTATGATGGAGTTTTTTCTGTGACACAGCTTATGGCCAGTTATGGACTAGTGTCCCACGTGAAAGGCATAACGAGGATAGGTCCCACTCGGGGCACTCAGCTTGATAATATGTTTAGCAATATACCTGATACACAATGTAGCATTATAAAAATAAATATATCAGACCATTATGGTCAGAGCCTTAATTTTACATTAAATAGCAAGGTTCCTATCATCAATTATGCAAGGAAACGTTTTTTCGCGGCTTCCAACATCCAGCGCTTCAAAGATCTGCTGAGCTCCGAGACCTGGAATGATGTATATGGTTCAGTTGGGGTTGAGGAGAAATATCAAACCTTCTTTAACGTACTATTTCATTATTTTGACATTTCTTTTCCATTATGTACCTATCGATTAAAATTCAAAGAACAAAACTGGGTAAATGAGGAGATAAAAGCATACTCTAATTATATAAAAGATTTGTATGTTTGGTCTAAGATTACACATAGCCCTAGAGTATATAATCAGTATAAAATTGTACGACAAGAATACCGGAAATTTCTGTCGAATTACAAAATAGCTCTAAATGAAAGTAAAATATTAAACTCAAAAAACATGACAAAAACTGCGTGGAGTATTTTAAACGCGGAAACTAATACAAAAATTAAGCGTTCCATTGAGCTAAAACTTAATAATGGTGTAATAATAAAAGATCCCCAAAAAACTGCTGATGCCTTTCAGGAAAGGTTTGATATCTCTCCACAATCCCATGGCAGTCTTGATATTTCGGAAGCTAGTGCGATTCCCACTTTATTTTTGCTTCCTGTTGACAATAGGGAAATTAAACTAACTTTGGCGAGTTTGCCAAACAAATTTTCAGCTGGTTTGGATGAAATCCCGGTGGTAGTTCTAAAGCAGATATCTGACTATATATGCGAACCGTTAGCTTATATTATTAATGAATGTCTGTTTACAGGAATTTTTCCGTCACATTTAAAGAGGGCCAAACTGGTTCCCATTTACAAAAAAGGAGATGTGCATGACATAGATAATTATCGACTAGTCTCACTGTTATCTTCTGTGTCAAAGGTCTTCGAAAAAGTCATATATTCAAGGATAATGAACTTTATCAAGAGATACAACATTTTAACAAGAAATCAATTTGGCTTTCGCCCAAATCATTCCACACAACTAGCACTATTTAAAGTTCTTACTTATATTGTTGAAAATGTGGATAAGAATGAAAAAGTGGCCGGTCTGTTTTTTGATCTGTCTAAGGCCTTCGACACCATAGACCATCAAATACTCCTTAAAATTCTGTCTAAACATGGAATACGAGGTAAATGTGCACAGCTTATAGAGTCATACCTTGACAGTAGGGAGCAGCTTGTCTGTATAACCCAAAATGGTGTTAGGCATTTTTCATCAGTTACCTTGATTAAACAGGGTGTGCCGCAGGGATCAATTCTGGGACCGTTGTTGTTCCTGCTCTATGTGAATGGTCTTCGTGACAGATTTATGGAAGGTCTGATTTGCCAGTATGCGGACGACACTACTGTTGTGCTGACTGCGTCGGACATGTCTGGCTTGTCCGGGGTCTGTTCTTGTGCAGTGGGGACCATGCAGGATTGGTGCAAGGATTATGCATTAAGATTGAATGCTGATAAAACTGGACTTCTCACGTTCAGTAAATCATCTGCCAGGGATGAGTCGCTGTTGGTTCGTTGCAATAGCGGACCAATACCAGAGATGACCGATATAAAGTTTCTGGGCATTTACCTGGATTCGAGTCTGAATTGGGATTGTCAAACATTTGTTTTGGTTGGTAAGCTCCACAGCTTCTGTGCGTTGGTGCGGCGGCTGCGAAATGAGGTTTCCTTGAACACTTTACGGCAATTTTATTATTCATCTGTACAGTCATTGTTAACTTATAGTATAATGTTCTGGGGCTCTTCGCGGGGTGCCATGTCAGTTTTTATAGCGCAAAAGCGCATCCTGAGGTGCATTTTGAGACTTCATCCTCGAACATCATGTCGGGAACATTTTTCAAGATTGGGATTCTTGACGGTTCCATCACTATATTTTTTGGCACTTGTTTTATTTGTTAAAAAGCATATGTATCTTTTTAATAGTAACGCACATTATTATGCTAAAAGTATGACCGTTGTGACCAGAGGCAGAGAAAATCTGAGTGTGCCTGCACATTCGTCCGCATTTTTTAAGAGGGCTCCATTATACATGGCTGTCAAAACTTTCAATATGCTTCCTATAGATATAAAATCCGAGAGCAAGCCTATTAGGTTTAAAAGAGCGGTGAAAAGGTTTTTGCTGGACAGATGTTTGTACAGCTTTGATTTTAACATTTGAGCTCCATTATTTTATTTTAATAACATTTTAAGCTAAGTTGTGACATACTGGACTTTTATTTGTCATTTTAATAGTTTTTAATATTGTAAACATACATATAATATCCCGTTGGTATTGTACTACATTTTTTTTTTGACGTTGCTTATGTTTTTTCTTTAAAATTTTGCTGGCAATAAAGAATATTATTATTATTATTATTATTAATATGAAATTAAATAATAAAACTTACAAAAAATATTAAATATCTTACCTTACTGTTACACCTAATTTTTCTGCAGCAGAAATGGGATTACGGTATCTTTTTGATGGTTGTCTGGTTATATCGTTTTCAATTAGTTTCAGCACACGTGTAAATTATTCCTTGGACACTCGAAAATATTCTATAAACTTGGTATCGTTATTACAAAAGTGGTTCAGCAGTAAGTTAAAACAACCTTCCTTGTTTCTCTTCACAAATAACTCTTGCTTTCTTCGTCTCTTTTTCTTCAGTGACATCCGTATTAAGTAATCGTCATCCTCCTCCTTTTCGAGTAAAAGAAGAGTTAAAATTGTTTCATCGTCCATTTTTTACAAAACAAGTTGAAAAGATCGTACTCGACTGATACCGACGCCAATAACGTTCGTAATGTTCTGTAGTGACCACGTGAAGTTGCCGACGACGTACAAATGCTGTACGTGACGTAAACAAACGCTAGACGTAGCGTATTACGTGAAAATTGGAGACCGCCGCCTTAAGACAATTTTAACTCTTCTTTTGCTTGACGAGGAAGAGGAAGACGATTTTTTAATACGGATGTCACTGAAGACAACAACTTATTTATTACGAGGGTTAAAAACGTGTTCGGTGTACAATAGGAGACCGCATCCATTATTTCTTATCTAAGGCGGCGGTCTTCAATTTTCACGCTATACGCTGCGTCTAGCGTTTGCTTACGTCGCGTACAGCAGCTGTACGTCACCACCAACTTCACGTCGTCATTAACAGAACGCGTCGAACACTGGCGTCGGCAGTCGAGTGCGATCTTAAAACTTGTTCAGAAATGGAAGATGAAACAATTTTAACTCTTCTTTTGCTCGAAGAGGATGACGATTGCTTGGATTTGCTGTTGAGAGGCATGGACACAGGACTGTTAGAGCAATGGTTGGGTGGCCATAGCCTATGGGAGCCGATACCCCTTTTCTTTGCTCAAGGCAATATGACTACTGCGCGTTATGTTGATGATGTCCTACAAACCACTTTACTGTCGTATCTAGAGGGCCGTCCATACGTCCTTTTTCAGTAGGACAACGCACGTCCCCATACTGCTCGCCGTACTACGGACTTTCTTCAAGAAGCAGGCGTTAATGTTTTGCCATTTCACCGGATTTAAATTCCATCGAACATGTGTGGGATATGATGGCGAGGAGACTATCCACTTTGCACCGTCCGCCACAGACTCTGCCACAGCTGATCTACAAAGTTCTAGTTGCTTGGAATGAGGTGTCGCAACCAGTTATCGATCATCCCATTTTGTCGATGACTAGATTTATACAGGGGTGTATTCCGCTGCGGGGTCGCCCAACACATAATTATTTTTTTTTCTTATTAATTGTCAATAAAATTTCGTGAGAATGGTACCGTTTCATCCTTGATGTAAGACTACCTCATTGCAAAAAAATCAAGTTGAAGAAAATATTTTTTCTAATGTCACTAAGTATATGTCCCAAAGTCCTGCATTACACTGTAGTATAAAAGTGTAGTGTAAACTACTGCATGTGACTATATGGTATGGAAAGAGAGAGGGAGACCCTATTCAAGTCACTATAAGGTCACTGCGATATCTTTCCAACAGTTTATTTATTTATTTATTTATTTAAGAATTTCGGGATGTCAAACAGAGAAATTCTCCAAAAAAGACAACCACAACATAGCTTATAAAGAATACCATGTTACAAGCACTGTTATAAAACGATATAAATGCATGTGAAACAACTTAGCAATAAGGATAAAAAGAAGAAAGTTAAAAAACAGTAGCGTCGCTTACAAGGGAGTAGCCAACATCCTGTTCTGTAATAGGTATTTAAAGTTTAAAAATCGGCAAACAAAAATATCAGAAAATGCACCATAGGTATTGAGATTTCTTTGCATTCGTATTAGCGGAGAGTTTAATCCAACATTTGTTCTGCAAAACGGGATATTGAAGTACGTACAGTGACTCTGGTTTACCCTTGGTGGTGCGTATATATTGATTTTAGACAAAAGGTAAAAACAATCAATTTGATTGTTTAAGATTCGGTGATTAAAGCACAAATCAGATAATACCCTTCTCTTAAATAGAGGTAAGATTTTAAAACGTTCCATCACCAAGCTACAATCATGATTATGTATATTGATATTCGACTTACGCCAAAACCCGTAGAAACTTATGTTGGACAGACTCAATCCTTTTTATATGGACTTCGTAGTGTGGGTTCCAAATAATAGACGCGAATGACAGCTTACTGTGTACAAACGCATAATATAGTGACACCAGGGTAGCAGGGTTATTAAAGCATCCAGAGTGTCTCCTAATAAAGCCAAGCATCTTATTGGTTTTGTTAATGGTTTTATCTATGTGGTTATTAAAGCTCCATTTCGTATCAAGTGTAACACCCAGGTCCCGTATAGTGCTCACCGAATTAATATTAACATCAGCTATCTGATACACATACTGTAATACGTTCCTTTTTTGGTAAAGCTAATTGAGAAACACTTATTAACATTGAGTGGCAGATCATTTCTCTGACAATAATCATTGAGTCTGATGATATCGCATTATGTATTTTGGTGTAGTCCTGAAGGTTTTCAACTATACGGTACATCTTTAAATCGTCTGCGTAAAGAAGGAATTGACAATGGCTGAAACATTGAGCGATATCATTTCGCTATTCTGAAACATATTCCTAAATGGTATATTCATAATTCCTCTATGTATTTGATAGCACTTACGCCGGCATTAGAGCTCAATATTAGTAGATACTGAAATATTATTATGATACCAGAAAATACTTCAAAACATCTTGAATTTAGAAATCTGCCAGTAACAAACGTTCTGAAGTCTGACACGACAGTACACTTATTAAAAACATACTTTCGTTTTCAGGTGGCTTGTATTTTGCTATGTACCAACATTTTGCGACTCTCTGCAACGATTTGATACTACAATGGTTTTTGGCAGAACCTTACTTAGGTCTGTGTTCAAGTACATCCGTAAGCAAATGCTGGATGAATTCCATCGCGAACGAGATAGTACACCTCAAGAGGAAAAGAGAATACTACTGCTCACAAACTTTCCAACGTTCTTGAATCAACTGGAAGAAGAAATATATGCCCCAAATTCACCTATTTGGCACCCAGAATTTAAGACACAGTCATTACATTTTCAGTCTATTTTGGATTCAAAATTGAAAGGTTAGTCTATAAGAAAGTACCTTTGATTAAATAGAATTTTCTGATGTATTTCCGTCTGAGATTTTTTATATATTTCTTCTAGCGAATACAAGCTCATCAAGGAAGGGCGAATTTGAAAAAGTTACGTTAGGCCATACAGACAGAGAAGGTTTTACCACAAGTACATTGAGCCCTGGTAAATCTGCTCGGAGCTCTGATACGCCCTTACGGGAGGCAAAAAGGAAAAAGTTCCAGGAAGAACAGTTTGAAGATATTCCGGAGGAAACAGTCGCTGAAATTATGGCTACAATTGACGATCCCAATTATATGACAGGTCCTGATGTAAGTTATTTCCTGATAAATAATTAGTCTAATCATATTAGCAAATTTCCTCGAAATAATTGAAAAATTTGGTTTTATTGATGCAAGTTGTTCACGGGGGTATTTAAAGCATGGACGCTTAAAATGGGTGCACTAATTTTTGTGGAAAAACTTTTTGTCCGACAATAAAGAATGAGAAAACGTGTCTTTTGGGATTCAAACGAAAGTGTTGGCATGGACGAAAAAACTCTTCAAATAAGATTTTTAGGTATTTACGAGACCTACAAAATGAGACCACACGAAAAAAGATCCGCAGGGGTATTTATATTATGTACAAAACCAAAAAAAACGGCAAAATGTCATCTAGCAGACTGGGTAGTTTTTAGTGTACAAATAGTTGATTCCACGTTTACTCGCTAAGATCGCTGTGAGCGTCCATCTATGGAGGAATCAGTCAACTAAACTACACGCATTACTGGTTGCATATGTTTTGTGAGGCCAAATGGTCCTTGTCTGTAGTTTTTATCTCTGAGAAGATGTGAAAGAACGAAAGTTGGTTAAGTAGCGAGACCGCATCTGGATGATGTGTATTGGTCTGCATGTGTATAAAATATTTGCTATGTGAGGAAATTATTACCGAATATTGTAATGGATTGGCCGTTATTGCTATTGATTAGTGAAACGTAATTAGCTAACCAGTCAAATACATTAATTAATTAGCGAAGTTGGTCACGATGAAATTTGCTAATCACGATGTTAGTATTACCACCAGAATAGACCGACAATATCTTCAAGTTCATATTATTGAGCGTTTGGTGCGGTTGGAGCTGAGTAACGGAAACCGTTGGCAAGACGAATATCAATTTATCAGGTGATTTGAGAAAAGGATGTAAGATAACTTACGCCGAGATGGCTTGTTAAGATCCGCACGGGTATCATGTAAAAAACCTACAAAACGTCAAAAACAAAAAACCTATAAGATGTCAATTTGCAGACTAGGTAGTTTTTAGGGCGCAAACAGTCATTCCACGTTTGTTCACTAGGATCGTTGTGAACGTCCATCTATGAAGGAATCACTCAACTAAACTACACGCATTATTGGTTGCATAGTTTTGTGAGGCTGAGTGATCCGTGTCTGTAGTTTTTATCTCTGAGAAGAAAGTTCTTTGAATAGCAAGATCGTAACTGGATGATTATGTGTATTGGTCTGCATGTGCATAAAATCAGTGATATTTGCTGTGTGAGAAAATCATTACTGAATATGTTGAATATGCCAAAAAACCTGCATTTTGCTTAGGTTTTTGGCCACACATTTTTTGCTATTAGTCAGATCTTTTTTTGTAGGTTTCGTAAATACCTAAAAATCTTATTTGATGAGTTTTTTCGTTTCTGCTAACACTTTCGATTGAATTACAAAAACACGTTTTCTCATTATTTGTTGTGCAATAAAAAGTTTTCCCACAAAAATTGGGGTACCCATTTTACGAGTATGCTTTAAATATCCATTGAAAAACTTGCATCAATGATACCAAACTTCACAATTGTTTCACAAACCAGGGGTATTTTCGTCTAATATATTTGGACTAATGTGCATCTCCACCCAAATATTTCAAAAACTAGACAACCTAGGAAAAAAAGTTTCGAAAGCTGTAGGGATTCAAGGGGCCAAAAGGATGGTGACCTACAGGGTCATTTCAAGGTCAAACGGATAGTTTCAACTGGAACTGTATTTTGTACACCGGAATTGAAAAGACGAGAAATTTTTACGTTCGAATATGGCCGAGATCATGTCCTTCAGGGCCATTTCAAGGTCAAATCAAGATTTTGAGAACAATTTGCTCCAGCAGAAATGTTCAACAGCACAGTTGTGAGGTTTTTCGGGTCATCCAGAGGTGGTCTTGACCATGAAATTCAAGGTACAGTCACAAGGAAACCTTTCAATTTTATATTGGAAATGGAAAAAGAAAGAAATTATACGTACGAATTTGGACTTCACCTCAAAATCAAGGTCATTCGAAACTTGCTGACATTTTATAGTTTACCTTTTAAAATATTGGTTAGACCTTGAAGGTTCTGGTCACCTTTGGGTGACCACCGCAAACCTCACATCTATTCTATTGAACATTTTTGCTACGGCAAATCATTTTCAATGTCTTGTTTAGACCTAGAAATTGTCTTTAAGCTCATGGTCATAATTGGACGTAATTTCTCTATAGGATTCCATTGTCTGGCCGAATCAAAACCATATACATATGTTTAGATTTCAGTTTATTGTACGACGTACAAAGCACCACTGTAATCTTTTTTAAGTACCATTGACATTTGTACTTAAAAGGGACCACAGTGGCTATCAAAATGTCATACTGAAGTCTGGGACCTCGGTTGGCCGCGTGGGTCAGAGTGTCGTGGTACTGATCCGCCGGCCGGCCGGGCCGCGAGTTCGAATCTCGCCTTCGCCATGGATGTTGTGACGTCGTGTGTTTGTCCATAATTAGAGATATATAAATACGAACCTAGTTTCTGGTTGCATGGCTTGGTCCTAAAGCCAAAAAAAAACAAAAAAAACAAAAACTGAAGTCTAAACATATAATGTGATATTGATTCATTCAGACAATAGAGAGCTATAAACACGAAAACCACGAGATGAGTTATATTAATTTACGGTTTCAATTCAGGTGTAAAAAGGGGTTCTATTTAAAAATACTCACTTGGCCTTGAAATTATATCGAACAAAGTGGTCAAGGTCACCATCATTTTGCCCACTCAAAATCCTGAAACCAAACCTTTGTTTGGACCTTTTTTTTCTACGATGCGTCGCGAGCGATTAAAATGTTACATCATGTATAACAACAGGTAAATAAATTCTTGTTATTCTTAGATGGTGTTTTCTGAGAATGCTCCTGCCACAGACGAAGGTCCAAAACTGGAGGAGAAGCGTAATATTATCCAGTTGCATGTAATTGGTAATAGTCTTACCAAACCAGTTACCAAACAGACGATGTTGTGGTTAGTTGGATTACAAAATGTCTTCTCACATCAGCTGCCGAGGATGCCTAGAGAATACATAACACAGCTCCTCTTTGACCCGTGAGTATTTTTGTCAAAAATCTCTACCAGAATATGTGAATTGTTGGGAGCGTTGTAGTTTCCACCATTGTCTTTTTTTTAGGAACAATCTATAAAAAAAATTGTTAAAAAACTAGCCCATTGCAGCGATCCCCCTACTATTTTTGAATTATATTTTCAGGAAGCACAGAACTCTCGCTCTGATCAAGGAAAACAAACCAGTAGGGGGTATTTGTTTCAGACCTTTTCCCACTCAAGGGTTCACTGAAATTGTATTTTGCGCAGTCACTTCTAGAGAACAGATAAAAGGATATGGAACACACTTGATGAATCATCTGAAAGATTATCACATATCCAAAGGAATCTTGAATTTCTTATCCTACGCTGATCAGAATGCAATTGGTATGTTGTTTATCGTGTTATCTTTCTTCAACAGGATGCACTAACTGTGTTTTAATCCACAGGGTATTTTGAAAAGCAGGAATTTTCTAAAGACATCAAAATGAATAGGCTTGCATATCAGGGCTACATAAAAGAATATGAAGGCGCAACATTGATGCACTGTGAACTGAATCCAAAGATAATTTATACAGAGTTCACCACTGTTGTCAGAAAACAAAAGAAATTCATAAAACAGTTGATTTACCAGACACAGAGAACTGTTTCGAAGGTTCATCCTGGTGTGACTTTTTTCAATGAAGGTAGGTTGGAAGTATATTTTAAAATAGTAATATAGCCTTCGTCCGTCCGACCACAGTCGGCCAATCATGGCCAGCTGTTTCGTGTAGGCTTGGTCTCGGTGGACAACAAATGAAAGCTGAGGAACTCTATTCAGAGTATACAGTATACAAGACACCACAAAGTGCCATTTATTACCAGAATCGACCACTGTGAAAATAGCAAGCTGTCTGTTGGAACTGGATCCCAGTTCGCATTGTGAGCCGGGTCACGACTGTGACCACTAGATGCCATTGATTCTGGTGCTATAGTAGATACGGTCTACTCGCCATTGAACAAACTAATTCGTCTGACCACAACTTGCTGTTTTTACTATTGCAGTGGCTGATTCTGGGGCTGGCACTTTGTGCTGACTTATGTCGATATGTTTAGTGAACAACAACTTGAAGTAAAGGAAAAATGGGCGCCGACGGGATTTTAATCCGCCTCTTATCCTACCTAACCAATTGGTTTACAGCACCAGCTACCAACCAGCCAAGTTAGAAAAATCGTATACAGGTTAGTGTTCTCGCACGGAGGTACCGCGGTGAATGCCCACGAGACGGCGTGGTGCAACCAGAAAGCGACTGGAGATCCGGTTTGTTTCACTTGAACGCCGCCAGATGAGGCATCAAGTAGCTTGAAAAAATAAAGGAACAGTGGCGTGAATAAGATTTAATTTGCCTCTAACAGTGGATCCTGAAAGTTGGTTGGTAGCTGGAGCTAGAGACTATACACACGGTATAGTTCATTGAATTGAAATTGCTCCTGGTATAAGAACAGAATTAGGTGGTTTTGAGGATGAATTTTTTATATTGCCATCTTTCTGGTGAGAGTTTTAGATTATTGGGGAAGGTTCTAAACTGAAGCCTGCTGATCCAGGGTCCTTTCTCGAAGATCATCGGTTCGAAGTAGATCAGTGACATAACTGACAATTTTTTTGACACTGGTGCCCCAGTTCTGTATACATATAAAAAAGCTATGTCAAACGAAAATAGAAACAAAAAATGCCGAAAAAGAAAATGAAAAGGGATTTCAAGTGGAAGATGTGCTAAAAATGAAGGATTATACAATTCACATACAAGATTTGTTGATAAAAAAGCTGCAAAAGAAGAATGCATATCTGCAAGTGAGATTAGCCGAATTACAAATAGAAAAAAATGAAACTAAATCATTTGAAGATGCTGCAAAGAGAAAGTAGTAAATCTAGATAAAACCACTGACATTACTGAAGTTCCCACTCTATCTAACATGAATAAAACAGAAACATGCAGAACACCGAGTAACAGTCAAAGATACAAACATTAATAGAAATTCTGGTTACTTCTACAGTACAACCAGAAAAGACAGTTATAATAAAATCAAACGATAAAAACAACATTATAAGCAGTGATTCGATGATAAATGTAGTGGCAATTAAAAAGATGAAATACAGATATCAGGCAATTCTGGAATTAGATGAGCAAACATTTAAAATAATTATGAAAGAAGGTTTACTGTTTGTATCAATGGATGTGTGTAAAAAACTGTACAAAGAAGAGTGTTTGCATAAAATGTGATGAGAGTGGCCATCAGTCTCAAAACTGTGAAATACCAAAAAATGACGTGAATTGTCCGAACTGCAAGGAATCAGATTTGGGTATAATACAAATTTTGCCACAAACCACTCACCGTTCAACAAAATATGTAGAATAATACGAATGGAATATGAAAAATCAAAAAAACAAAGTTTACTTTGGAGACAGATCATAGCAACTATAAACTAAACAAGCTGTAAACTATATATACCACTTAAACATTCAAGGATTTTTGTCACACAAAGATGAGGCTTTAAATTTCTTGATGTTAGGGAAACCATGAATACTTTGTTTAACAGAAACACATACCAGAAGATATTGAGGAGGGAGAGCTCGATATTCACGGCTATCCAATTGTAAGAATAAACTCTGTTTCGAAGCATACAGGTGGCATATTGATATATACATTATATAGCATTGAAGTCAAAGTACAGAACATTGAAGTTATTGAATATCGGTGGTGGTACATCAATCTGGAAATAAGAATACAAAAAAATTACTACCGATCTTTAAGTGAAAGCGTCAATCGATTTATTGAATTTTTCGGAAGTACATGTGAAAAAATTTATTACAGGAATTGCACAAATGTACATTTAGGAGACTTCAATATAAATTTTGACTGAAAAATTTCTGTTAGAAAATTTGAACAAGTACTATACTTCCATGCATTATGCCAGAAAATAAATGACTATGTGCACAAGGATTACAAACTTTGCATACTCCAAAAATAAGTGATCACTCATGGGTATATTTCGAAGTGGAGAATATGTTCAATGAAAATAAAAGGATAGAAATTACAGTAATTGATTTCACAAAATTATAAGAAACACTTTTACAACACAATATACCTAAAATTAATGAAGCTATGGCCAAGAAAACAATATATGCAAGAGTGAACTCAACACCCTGGTTTTCACAGATATTCAAGGAGTCTAAATTAAAACGCCATGACGGCTACAGAAAATTTTTAGTATCCCAAAGTGAAAATGATTGGAAACAATATACAAAATCAAGAAATGTGTGTATCAGTTCTCAGGAGGGAAAAGAAAAAATACTATGATAAGAAGATCGATAGCAATAAAAATAATTCGAAAAAAATTAAATAGACATTATCATAACCATGAAACTAGAGACAGTATACATGCTCATCTGCAAAATTGTAATAGCATAAGTAGTAGATCTATGTTTCAAATGGGTGTATTTGAATTTAATAAAATGAAAAATGATATTAAACAGTGTTCGAATTTAAAAATGTTTAAGGTGAATTTAAAAAATCACTTTATGAATAATCAAAATGCATAGTGATGTAATTTTAATAGACAAGAATGTAAAATTAATAATTATATAACAAAATTGACATTGTAGCATTAATGGTAAATAAATCTTCAACAAACAAACGAACTAATTGGTTTTGTCGGCTACACGGAATGAAGGAGATGCGGGTTTGAATCCCACCGAAGTCCATTTTTCCTTTGTCTCGAGGTGTTTGTTTACTAAACATACTCGATGTTGTTGATGCTCTCGTCCGAAAAATCGTGTACAGGTTATTTCGATATATCCTGAGTTTTTAGTCTAAAGAAAATATTATTGTTTTGTATATAACAAATTCATTGTTATACTTTAGGTGTGAGAAGTATTCCTATAGAATCAATCCCAGGAATAGAAGAAACTGGTTGGAAACCTACTTCTAGAACTACCAGAGGTCAACAGCTGGAGGAATCTCAAGATGTTGATACTTTGACCAGCATGTTGAAAATTGTTTTGAATGCCGTAAGTAGATGCAATGGACAAACAATTCAAAATCGTGGTGTTATAAAATATTTTCTTTTAGGTTAAAAGCCAAGAAGAGGCCTGGCCATTTAGGCAACCAGTAGATAAAAATAAAGTGACTGATTACTATGACCACATTAAATATCCAATGGGTAAGTGCATATTTATGACCTTTCCCAGTTCTGTTTTCCTGTATATACACGTTAAATGAACCGTTCTTTTCAAAATAATCTGATGTATCACACCTTGAAATTTTATTATCGAGGTATTTTTTTTTTATTTTTCCAACACATTGTTTTTCAGATCTGAAAACGATGACTGAACGTCTGAAGTCTCGGTACTATGTATCGAGAAGGCTGTTTATTGCAGATATGATGAGAATATTCACCAACTGTAAGATTTACAATTCGCCAGAAACAGAGTACTACCAGTGTGCTTTGACATTACAGCAGTATTTTATTACAAAGATGAAAGAAATGGGCTTATGGGATAAGTAGAAATATGTATTATTTTCAATATAAGATATATATTTATTAATGTTGTGTTTCTATTTAATAAATGAACTAGTCGCTTTCAAAGTACAAAATGGAGATTATGTGGCAATTAATACCAGTCAATAGTTAACAGGATGTGGCATTTGTCAATTAACTGTCTGATAAGAGTTACTTGGAAACATCATCTGGTAGTAAACTGCCAGTTAAGAGTTAACTGGAGATTTATCTGGTAGTTGACTGCTACTTAGGATTAACTGAAATCTGTCTGGTAGTAAATTTCCGGTTTTAACCTCGCCATTGCTCGAGTTCTGAGCGCGCAGCGCTCATTCTGAAATTTAATTTGAATTATATAAGTTAAAAAAACATTCGGATTTTTCCATTTGTGTATTCTTCTATAAGGTTATACTAATTCACATTCAAATATCAATCGCCGGCGGTACGCCAATGTGTTGTCCCACCAAACGGGGTATCCATCCACAACGAGGAACAAGTCGTCCACGAAAACATAATTTGGCTACGCATCTCGCAGGGGTCAAGCGAAGTGCTAAAAATCGAAACACGCCAAGTAACTGTTGGAGTATGGAGGATTAGACAGTCAAATAATGTTTTATTCTATTAAGAACAACAGAATGGATCGGCGGCTTTATCTAAAAGCACTGAACACTGAGCTTATCAAACCTCACTTGGTAAATCGTGCTTCAATTAGAACCTTGCCCATTTTACTTGACTTCAAATCAGGCGCGTTGCAGCTGAAGAACCAGGAGCCGAGGTTGTAGGTTCAAGTGAAAGGATGTTTTTTCTGTCCACGTAATAAGAACAGAAAAACTACTACTCGGTGCCAAACAAGTAAACATGTCACCGTGGAAATGAAGATTATGGTAATAATCAATAACCAAAATGTATCATATTATTTTGTGTATTCTATTTGTTTACTACGTCGTTTTTAGGCACTATTCTAAATTAATAATTTGAATAGCTGTAGTTAGGGTTTTATGTATTCTACGTTCTATTATTTAACTGCTTATAACATTTATTATGTCGTCGGTTGTCAAGAAAAGTGACACAAATCAAAATTCTTGAATTTTCAGGAGAGCGATTTGAAATATTTGATAATCGTTTGTATCGCTTGGCTGTTTTCCTAATCGATTTACACCAATTATTTTGATTGTTTTGTGTTGTAGATATGACAATCTTATTATTGTTCATGGTAAGTTCTGATGAAATTTGATTTGAAGTACTAAAAAAACAAAATATTTGTAAATTTATGTCGTTGTTCGTGATAAACATGAGATTCGCAATGCCATGTCTAAAACAACTTTTTTATTAATAAACCGTACATTTGGTAAATAACCTGTATTTATTTCCTTTTCAACAAATGCAAATAAAACATTCTCTATCAAAAAAATATATGGAAATATAAAACAAACTTATGTACAGAGTGATACAGTCACTCTAAATTGAGGCTGTTTTACAGCACAGAATTAAAAAATAATAAGCACCATTGCAAAACGTAGGAACATTATAAAAATAAATAATAATGCCGAGAATATCACTAAACAAAAAAACATCTCTGCGAGTAAAAAACAAGTAATCAAAGATGCATGGGAAGTTAAACATACTTATCGCTTACTTAGGAAAGCCATAAGTAAAAGTACCTTTTACAAGTTACTATAATACTGAAAGTAAGTCTTCGGAATCACAGAACGGTTATTAGGTTGGTTGAATAAACTTAAAATACTACTTTTCTTTTTTTCAGTAATCCCTGGTTTAACTCGATATAGCTTTTTGATTACCAACGTATCATCGTTTTCTACATTCCGTCTTCTGCAGTATCTAGAAAGCCCTATATCAATGGTTTGGTATTCATCAGCATAAGATGTTTTATAAAGTATTTTATTAGGGTTATTCTTATCCGCTTTTACTACTTTAATGTCTGCTATCTTGATACTTTCGTTTCTATCATTTTTTGTGAAGCTTCTTGCTGCCGTAGAAGCAAAATCTTTTAAATCGAGGAAGTCTTCATGATTCAGCTCATGCACTCTGTAGGGGCTACCTGATACTTTGGACGTTCGTATTATGGTTACATACTGGGCTGGAATAAATATGGGGCCTGACTTCAACGAACGCTTGACATGTCGTTCAATCACGGAATGGACGCTATCGCCTTCATTCTGGGTATGTCCTTTGATGAGGAACTTATGCGTTATTGAGTTGATAAAATTGTATTTTTGGACAGCATGGTGGTAAATTTTAAACATAACATGGTTTTTCTGCTGTCCACAGCAATTATCGGAGTAAAAGATAAGGTCAATCTTCTTGTTATACATTTGATTAGCTCTACTTTCTAGAGATTCAATGTAATTTAATACGCATGTACCTATTTCGCAGACACCTCTATTTCCTTCAGACTCGTCCCACATGTAGCATTGGACATCCTTTGTTTTCAGTTCGTAAATTGTAAAATTGAATACATTCAATTTTGAACAGTAGTAAAAAGGTGATGTCTCTCCTCTAGGACACTGAAGTACAGCCTGCAGATCATAAACTGCAACGATTACGTTGCTTTCACTATTTTCTTTATCTTCTTTTTTTTCTTGGCGTGATAGGTCTTTTTCAGCGATGTGAGTCTCATAATCACTAACTAAATTTTGTCTGTCTTCACCAGATGCCATTTGGAATGCAACACAGTCCGTGCACTGATCTTTTTTAGGCAAAAAGAATGAAATATTAAATTCAGAATTGAATATTCTGCTGTACATTAGGTAGTTGCCGTAAGGTTTCTCAGCTTGTTTGCATGATTCGACGTAGTCTCTATGTAGCTGGGCCACTGTTTTGCCCCCTTCAATGTATTCTCTATTCGAATCTTTCCTACAATAGTGACTTTCTATACGTGGTATCGAATTTATGTGGTTTCTAATCCCAGTTTTAATATCATCATCGACGCGATGGTGATTACCGTGTTTCCCTCTCTGTTCACCCGACAGTATCCCTTTGGTAAAGCTTCTTTGTTTTTCCAACACAGTTCTTATCGGACGGTCCGTAATACCCAATGTTGCTCTGAAGAAATGTTTACATATTCTTATTTTAGTTCCTCGGATAAAAAAGTAGAACGCATTATTGCTAGCACGCCTACTATTTTTATACTGATATCTGCATGTTACAGATTCCATACATTTTGCCAAGTAATCTCGTTGCCGCTGCAGATCTCCTAGACTCCAATAATCAGAGAATATTAGTTTTCTTTCCTCACTGGAGATTTTCTCGTTGCATTTTAATCGGCAATTTTGGCAGGGAGGTCCCATTTCTCTAGACTTGATGACCCTTTTGCTGGATGACGATATGTATTCCAGTCCTCTATTTCGTTGCCGTTTTGCAATGTTCTTTTGCCAAGCATCTACATTCATTTTTCTTCTTCTGGGCTTCTTTGCTTTGGGCTCTTCGAAATTTGATAATTCGGGGGAAGGAGATTCTGCCGATGCAGACGAAACATAGTCTGGGTCTGCATCGGAGTCATCACAGGGTGACTCAACATCGTCGAACTCCGCTTCTGTATTTTGAGCTTCTCGTATATGTGACAATGAGTCTCTAGCCTGCTGATCAATATTATATATCTCTTCGACCTTTTCTGTCCCTAGGGAATCAAGCAGGCCATTGTCGAGATCAATCAGTTGATCGTTTATTTTTGATGGGCTAGCTGTCAAGAATGAATCTACAATCTCTGTCACATCTCTGAAATGCGGTAACGCATTTTCTCCTTCACAAGGTGGATTAATTGGGGGTGGTGAATTAGGTGCTGTAAGTTCTTTGCCAGATCCTAAAAGAGAAAAAAGAATCAATAGTAGCTCAAATAGCTTCCATTTTTTCAAACATTTGTTTCTACAAAAATGTCAATTCAACGATGGAAAAGTTTGTCTTTGTAACAGAGCCTCTAAATGGGCCATATTTTCGTAAAATATCTCACTGGAACTATAGCAACCGTATATAAAAATATTGCAGCATATGAAAGGGTTGCGATAGTTACATTAAAATATTTCACCAAAATACCTATTCCTCGTTTAGATTCTCCATAAGAGCATCTACAGGTCGAATTGAATAATTCTACATTTGACCTAAGACATCACGGCTTAACCGACTTACCAGTTTCTGATGATTGTCCATATATTCCCTCATTTTCTAAATCACTGAGTCCTTTTTCTGCAGACAATTGCATTAACAGCCTTGTTCGTTGAGTTAGTGGAGCTTTGGTATTCAAATCCATCACTTTCTGAAAAGAAATCTAATAAGATTCTTAGAACGACAAAAACATTGTTAAAAGGTACATAGTTGACCTAAAACAAAATCATCATGTTTATTTAAAATGGCATATTGAAAGTGTTGAAAAAAGTGACATATTTTTCGACGTATGATTTAGTCGGAGTAAATTTATGAAGAACACCATCATAACTCAAAATTAGGATGAAACCGATAAAGTCTTGTCAAAAAATAATCACTATTTATCAGGAAGGACGACATAACTGAAGACTAAAGACATGCACGATAAGACTCAACTAAGTATGCTACCTACCTTATTATCAAAATCGTCATAAAACAAAATGTGCCACTCTTCTTGATAACAGCGTTCAGATCACACAGCCGAAGTCAAAATGTGTCGTTTTTCTTGATAACGCACTACCACACTGCGAGACGTGCCAGGCACAACTGAAGTTATGACACTTTTCTTGAGACGCGCAGGTGAATAGTTACTGAAAAGAAAAGTGACACTTCTGCTATCTACGGGCCGTTTTTCAAACTACAGTTGTGACGGTTCGTGTGATAAAAATATACACTTTTTGACGATCATTCATGCATATATCTGAAAAAAACGTGATTTTTGAGTTGTGTCACTTTTCTCGACAACCGACGATGTATTTTTTTAGTGGTGTATATAAATGTTTTATCAAGATAAATAAATTAGTGCATTTCTGTTTGTGGAATCCTCTGTTTTGATCCACACCCAAAAGAACCCAGAAAAACGCTACAAAATGTTTGCCGAATACAAATCTTGAGATGAATTCACCGAACTATTTTCATTAATCCCTTCGACCGCAAGTACTCTCGTTCGTGGTGTTTGCCTAATAAACCTAAGCTACTTACACCAGACTATTTTTTTCATTATCCTCCGCGGAACTTGAGGTTTCATCTGACAGTCAAATGCATGGTTTTCATAAGGGTTAATTATTGAAGATTGTAGGATCTGAAAAGGCTAGTGAATCAAACAAAGAAATCTGGTAATTTTTTATAGACTGTAAATGTGATATAAACAAAACAATATAAGAGAAAACCAATGTATTAAATCTAGGATAATCAAACAACTTTATACGTTACACATTCGATAAATAAGTATGGATATAATAAAATGACTAGTAAAATTTGATACTATAAAATAGTTAAAATGTTAAATAAACTATACTATACAAGTCCAACAATTAGCTGCTTACACATATAAAAATCGAGTGCCTGTAGTACATTCGAACATCAGAAAAACTTACTAGATAATCAAACTTATCAAATTGGTACAAACCCTACTCACTGTTCGTATATTTGTTTTATTAATATACCACAGATACTCGGAAAAATTACTACACACCAGTTCAGTGCAGACACAAAAATCTTATTATTCAGTCAGTCTATCGCAATTTCAATGTCGCACTAAAAAGGTATGTTGAACATATTTCGAGTAATAAAATTTACGTTAACATTCGAGATAAATCATCTAAAAAAGTATTCGTTACGAACCTAACGTCGAATAAAAAAGAAAAAGGACAATGATGAGACTCAAATTACAACACTACCATGTAACCGAGACTTGTGCTAAACAAATTAGTCTTCATACAAGTGTATTATCCAACACGATGAGTTGGAATACTCATTATAGTGGACTAGAAGTGTAGGTGTATTCATATTATAAAAATGCATCACATTTTACGATATTAGTATACTAATAATGCCCCTTTTATTCCTATTTGTGGTTAAATGATTATAAAAATTTTAAAATATTTGGTTTGATGAACTTACATGATGAGTCCTCTCATCCTCAGAAAAAGATCTTATCTTTGGCCATGCTAGGCCTAAATATTTCGAAAACTGCTTCTAGAAAAAAGTTTCAAACGGAAGTTGTAGAGTTTTTGGGGAGGGGTGGTTAAATGATGCTGACCTTGACTATGATCTACAAAGTCATTTCAAAGTATTTTTAAATGGAAACCCCCCTTTCACAGTGCAATTGTAAGACGGAGCAAATTTTACGTTCGAACATCACCTTAGAAATAAGCTTGACCATTACCTGTAACGCCAGTTCAAGGTCACATTAAGACATTGAAAACAATTTGCTCTAGCAAAAATGTTTCGATATCGCAGTCGTCAGGTTTGTGATGACCTTCAAGGTCAAGTCAAAATTTTCAAACATCTCATTATATGGAAATACAAAATGCAGGAATTTTTACGTCTAAATATGACCTTTACCTCAAAGTATCAAGCTTAAATGTCACTTGATGTCAAGGTCATGCCTTTTTTGATTTCCAGTATAAAAATAAGAGCTTTCCGTTGGAAGTTTTGTCTTGACCTTGAAGTTTATTCCCAAGATCATGGGCAAGTTCATTTTTGGGTAATTCCCACAAACCTCACCATGGTGCTGTCGAATATTTTTTGCTAGAACAAATTGTTTTCGATGTCTTGATTTAACTTCAGTCATCATCATTTTGTCCCCTGGAAACCATAGAACTTTTGTTTAAGACTTTTTTCTAGGATGCACAGTTTTTGAAATATTTGGGCTAGGAGATTAAAGTGGATACTGTGTATACAGATTATTTTTCATTTTCATAATATCCTGATTACCAAGTTCCTCATCATCTCATTTTTTCCAAGTTATATTGTCCAAAAGGGAGCTAATAATATCTAACATCGTTTTGAAGGTTTAAAATCAAGGTGAAAGTTGTTCTTACAACTGTATGAATTTGAGGCATTACAAGATGTATCTAAAAATCATCTACACTATGAAAAACATACTACAGCGCTCTATATGCTAAACACCTAACTTACACAAAATACTCTTCATCAAATATATAAGATCACACTTTACTGTTTTGTGCTTCCGACACAATTCCTTGGATATTAACTGCACATTTTTAAGGTCAGAATAAACGATTTCCTATTATGTATTAATACGTGGTATCTCAAGTTTGTTTCTATGTATTACTTATTATTCGAACTAACAAATTTCGGAAAAATGGCGTAACCTATTTGAATAACTGACCTCATATTTTTTACAGAAGTTACTTTAATATGTCCATATTGTCTTCGCAATCGTATTTACTTCCGCACGAAGTTTTTTCGTGTTTCTTTTTTCACTGCATAAGTTACTTTCGTGGATATTCAGTCAGTTTTAAGTTCATACAATAAAAAGTACATAATTAAAATGATTAGCTCTGTTGCACAAAATAGCATGGAATGTATTTTTGTTATATAATCGGTTGTATTAGTAAATATAATTTTAACGTGAAATTGGCAGTTATAACACCAGGACAATAATGGTTCTGTTCATTATTGTGCATGTAAGCTTTTACACATGCTATTTTTCCTAATGTTGTAGAACATGTATTCTTATTTCTGTTTCAATATCTAGGAAATCGAATATCTGTTAGTAACATATGTATCTGTGAGGTCTAATCTTCCAATATAAACTTCAAACACTTTTAAAGGCCATGTTATGGAAACTGTATTCTAATATTTTAAGAGAAAGGTAAAATCTAGCATTTTAAGAAACGGCCAATAATATTTGCATTTTAGACTCCAGATTCCTTTTTTAGGATAAACCTAGTTAATCTATGAATTTTACGAGAGGTTGAAGATGTTAAAAACTTGAACTGTCTAACTGTAAGTGAAAAGGATAGTAACATTATTTTTTAAAAACATTTGAGATCAGAGGTCACATATTTTTTTATAGTATTTAGTATTAATTTCAATGAAATGTTAAGATATTGAAAAATAAAAAGAGATCAGTCTAATAATACAGTAGGTCAAATTGTTTTTCCCTTTCAATAACGGCACCTTTTACAAAAAATCAGAAAATTATGTTCTCAAAAAATGTTCGAACATACTTCATTGTTAATTCTACAAAACAAATCACAGGAGTCTGGATTCTAAAAATACGCCGTACGATTAACAAATCTACGTTTGCACCACAATACGCGGGAGTAATACTTTAAAATTGAGGAGACTAGAAGAACATGATGATATGAAGCCAGGAAATAAGTATATTTATGAAGGCACACATTTCATCAGGCATCAAAATGTGTCGAAGATTTTTTTGGCCTCGCTTATTTCCTGGATTACTTAGACGATTAGATTCCGCTAAATGCTGCCGGCATCACTATCGTCACTAGGCTCCCCTCCAACGTCATCATCTTCGTCGTCCAGTACGCCGTCTAGGTGATGGGACAGCAAATCATCTTCGTTGCCTTCATCGTATGAGCTGAACAGACAAATGATGGTATGAAAGTTGTTACAATCAAATTTTCACTGTGGGCGTTTTAGGTCCTCTATTCACAATGGCCAAGTTTGGCATGGCTAATGCAAAACTGACAAGCTCTGGCGCGCAGAAGACATGTAGCCAATTAAGTCCTCAACTGGAGGAAAGCGACTGGCAATTAGGCCTCAACCTGCAGGGTGATCTGTACGCTCAGAATCTTTGTGATCTATATCAGTTTGGACCTTGGTAAATACATGAAAGCTGACGTTTGGTGACCAGTGTATGTTAGCTACGGCATGGACCATTGTGAAGAGGTTAAGTATAACGCAGATATACCTCAATTATGCAGCTAAGTTAATCACGTTTCTTTTGAAAGAACATATCACACATTTATATGTAGCAATAAATGATCAAAAGACGAAGAGATTCAGTATCTTTGGAAGTGGCATATTTCTAGTTACAAAATATACGATTTCCAAGATTTGCCTGCAAAACAGGCGGCAAAAGCAGGCGACGCACATCTCTATAAATAACCTTGAGATGTGGAGTGGATTTTAAAAGTTGTAGAAGCAAATTGCAAATCTATAAAACATTAGTAGATATGAAATGGAGAAAGTACTATTCATTTTTACAAAACTAATAGATCACTGTTAAGCAAAATCTTTTGTAGATTAGTAATTACACAGTAGAGTTAGGGCATATAGGTCAGGAAATATGTAATCTTTTCCACAATTTGGGCGACAGTAATTTTTTTTGTGGTATATTTAGATTATTGCTTTCTAATGATAAGTTGAAAATGGCGTCATAAAAGGGCTGTAGATTTGCCGCTATTTTCAAAAGCGCGTTTGATCGAAAATCTCGGAAACCATCGATCCCATGTAAAAAACGGTGTCGGTTATATGAAAGTTTGTCGTATTGTCATCGGGTTACGAGATATTTAATGGTAAATGTAAACATATAGAGTGTTTATGTGAAAACTTCCCACCACGGATTTATCGAAAACCATACACAAAAGATTTGTCAAGGGGGGCAACTTTTTAACCAAAAACTACTTCACCCTTGGTCCCCAGGGTCATTTCCTTAAAAATTTTGCTGGACCTTAGATTCTTAGTTTAAAATTATACATTACATGTATATTTTCCCTTTAACTTCTCGTAATCTAGTACTATATGACTATATTTTATAGAGAAAAAATGATGAATTTACTTCCATATAAAGTGCCAGCAAATGCTCTAGAGCTATCATGATGCCAATTTGAACTCATCATTAAGAAGCAATAACTAACGATACCGCCAAAAAATTACTGTCGGTCAACTTGTAGGATTCCCTTATTCAGAATTTTCCCATTTCTTAACTTAAAAGGAGCATACCAAATAAATGTACGAGGCTGAATCAAATATGAACCGGACTTTTCTGTTTAACGCGCCATATGTGAATGGAGAGGGGCGACGTCTTGATATATGTTGGCTGGGGATGTTAGGAAGGGGGGAGTAAGTCGGTTCAGCTCACCGAAGTAGATGAGCTGTAAGTAGCATCATGCCTGAGCACGAGTTGCACACGTCTGTAGCGCATCAAATTTTTGTCGCGGGAGGGCGTAAAACCGTCCGAAATTTTGCGTCGATTAACAGTTTCAAGGACACAAGTATACGACTGTGAAAAAAATATCCATGGAGTGGCGAAAGACTAGAGAGGCAGCACCGCGAAAAGCCAAGTCTTTTTGCAGGAAAAATTCTTGCACGGTACTTTGGGATTCCAGAGGTGTACTGCTAGTTGATTTTCTTCACAACCATCGTACAGTTAATGCTGCTTTGCTTACTACTGCCATCTGCTTAGAGAACTGAAACTGGCCTATCGGCAAAAAAGGCGAGTCATGTCTATTCAAAGTGTCATTGAACACCCGCCTTACAGTCCCGATTTGTTACCATTGGCTACTGACGCGACCAGCTTCATTCTTTGATGGGGGAATTAAAAAACTCCCGATCCGATGGAAAAAATGCATCAATAAGACAGGAGATTATGTAGAAAAATAAGATGTAAATAAACTTGTATTTACTATACCAATAAAATTACTAAAACAAAAGTCCGGTTCATATTTGATTCACCCTCGTATTATGTGATTCGGTGGTGATCAAATGTTAGTAGAATTCTTCAATCATGAAAAAAACAAGTTGATACTATTGTATATTTCTTTTTTGTAGCTAGCAGCACAAAATTGAATGTTAATTTTCAATATCCCATTCTCAAACACCTCATGCAAAATTCTTACCCTATCATAGCCACAATCGTATTCCCTACACAAGCAAAAATATTATTGATCCTCCACCATCAGTAGAATGTTAATGTTAACATTTGAATATCAACGATCCACGCCATAAAGGAAAGATTTACTTTTGCATGTTCATGATAATGCTTGATACTATGATTAACAAAATAGAATACATGTATAAAATAAATTAAGACATTTTTAGGTTCTTAAAAAATAGCAGTCCTTTAAATCAACATAATGTTGCTACTATTGTAAACCTTGCCTTTTAGAATGAACATAAATGAGAAATGTTAACCATACTGATTGAATGTACTTACAGACTATCTCCTTGGTCATTTCCTTCTTCAGCTACCAAAAGTTCATACTCTTCAGCAGCATACCTGTCCCAGTCAGACATCTGCAACAACACAAATAAAATAATATTTCTTTCAGGATGAAACAAAAATTAGAGACCCTTGGAGATCATATTCTTAAGGGTGCTTGAAATGGTTCCGCATCAAGAGATACAAAAAATTTTGCTCGATAACTTTTTTATTGGGCGACAAACTTTCGCGAATATCTAAACAACCCGAGGAACTAAAGAAAGGCGTCGCAGGTGGTTTGTAGGCAATAAAAAGACCTTCAAAATGAAGTATCACAAGTACTATTACAAAAAGGAGAAAAATCGTCGATTTATACATTCATTTTCTACCAAAAAGTGCATAACATAAAATCTTAAATAACAACTAAAAGTTAAAGCCATTATGAGAGAAATATTATTCCCGCAAATAATGTGAGAATAGGATCTGACAAATCTACGTAGTCAAAGTACCTACTTCGTGAGTAAATCATTAATTTGGAATAAGATCATGGTAAGTACCGCAACATCCTTTCCTTTGGCTTATGTCTTATTTTATATGTACAATGATTAAGCAGTGAAATAAATATATAATAAGTAATGGTATTTTGAAGATATGTTAGGGATCTGTCATGTTACAGTATTTGGCAAATGTTTACCAGTCTGTTATTCGATCCCATCAGAAAATGAACGGAATTTCTCGGAGATGGCTTCAGATTATCTTATAATTATGAAAAATGACACTAAATCATAAAATTCACTTGCCAATGAATAGGACAGTTAAAAAAATGAGAATACTTATCCATGGTTTTGAATTTACATCGTAAATATTGAATCAGAAACCCTAAAAAAGATATTTTATAAAAAAAAAATCAGAAGTATCACACTTTTGTAAGGCTCGTGTAGTCACAATATGAAATACTATATTGGAGAACAAATACATAAATTCCAATCCACCCTTTATATATGTACAGCGTCCGGCAATGAAGTATGGTGTTTTTGAAACGACTGTTATGTGCAGCACAGTCGAGCGAATGTTTTCACGATGGTTGATATCTACTCGTTCCGCGATGCCATTTTAGTAGCTACGGAGCCGTGGTCTGTGGCACATCGCGTGTTTATTTACAACAATTTTATTGAAACTGGTCGTTCTGTTGTCCTCACACAGAGACGATTTTAACGTTGGTTGGCATGGTCGCGTTCCAAGACGCGATACCATTTTGAAGTGGGTGAATAAATTTAAAACAACCGGATCGTTCAGACCTGGGACTGCACGGGGAAGAGATCGAACGGTGCGAACCCCGGAAAACATTGAAAGAGTGCAACAAGCGGAGGAAACCAGCCCTCGCCCTTCAGCGATACGTCACGCTCGCGCTCCGAGAATGTCAGACCGTTCAGTTCGCAGAATCTTACACACTTGGACCTCCATTTCCATCCATATAAAATTATGGTTGTTCAGAAGCTGCAACAAAATGACTTTGTAAGACGACAAAGGATGTTGGAGTTTTTATGGGGCTACTTAAAATCCAAACTTTACATAGACAAACCGCGAACTCTTGAGGCTCTTTCGGAAACCATAACGCGCAAAATTGAAAGGATTCCTCGTGCCATGCTCGAAAGGAGTATTGACGATTATGCAATCCGTCTCCTAGAATGCATCGACAAGAATGAACGCCACCTAACTGATGTAATTTTTCGCACCTGACTATGTTATGTATACTTAAATGGCAACATTCCACTAATGTATTAAAATAATAAATTTTGATATATGTTTAAAACTGAAAGTGTGTCAATTTTTTCAATATATATATATATATATACTTAATTTCGACTCTCAATGCAGATGAACGATACAGTGATTTTAGGTGATGTTATTTCAGCCCCCAAAAGTCTGAATGGTTTTTTTGTTCACCAAAATATGTTTTTAATCAGATTTAGAGTGGCGAGAATTCTAATTACATCTGTGAATAGACAACGACCTTTAATTGTTTTTACGGCAAAAATTGATCTACACTTTCATAGTCAAGAACATCTGTTATTTCTTTTGGTAGGATTTTAAACAAGTCTCTAGCAAGAGAATGAGCCCAATAAGAGCCAATTTGATTCATTCAACATCGCTAAACAACTCCTTAATGAATACCATATTTCTCGAAAGAATTAGTAACAAAATTATTATGCAGCAATTAATGAGGATTTTTTGTTGTTTTTTTATGTTATCCACCACAAACACTTTGACCTTTAGTTATTTCAGATTTGATGTTATGCACTTTTTGCTATCAAATGAATGTATAAATCGACGATCTTTGTATTTATTTGCAATGATACACTAACCGCCGCGCGCCGTAGCAAATTGAACGTGTGATATTTCATTTTATATGCCTTTTCATTGCCTACAAACCGCCTGCTTGACACTTACTCCAGTGCTTAAAATTGTTTTAATATACGCAAAAAAGTGATTTTTCAAAGTTTGTCGCTTAATGGAAAAGTTGACTAGCTACATTTTCTGAATCCGACAATGCGGGACCTTCTCTAGAACCCACAAGAATATAATCTCTTTATAATACCACTTATATTTTTTTTTTCTAAAATTCTGGATATCCTGGTCTAGTTGTTCAAACCGTGAATGTTATGGTCATGTTCTCTGCTGAATTAAAAGCAACTCGACGTAATGACCTATACTTACCTCTTGACCATCTATATCGTGATCTCTCTGTGATGCGAATGGATCTCTCTGTTCATGGTCTAGGTATTTCTCTAAATTAAAGAATGTATCGAAGAATATCGATGTCATTTTACACTTCTTCAAATCACTCAATGATACTTTTCCTGGAGTTTTTGGTTTCACCATGTCCAGCATTTGACATAAGCAATCCTGAAAAATAAAAATTGATAATAAGAAAATATGTTCAGGATAAAATGTGAATAAATATTAAGTAACATAATAAAAGTTTGGAAACACAAAGTTATTGATTATAACTATAGTGCGGCAGTATAGCTTCCTTTTTCCAAAGCTCAATAAAACCCGTTGTACGAATCAGAAGTTTTTTTGTTTTTTTTATAATGTAGGCGTATGCCTAAAGTTTCGTTTTACGTACAGTAATGGACAAAAGTATATAGACAAATATGAATATTTACCTAAATACCTTTAGAAAACGTATTCATACTTCATTGCTCCATAAAAAAAATGCGTTATTAGTAGAAAAACTAAATTCCTTGTTTTACATTATCTGCAATGAACACAATACAAGTCTGAATACAAGCACTTTTTTATGAGGGACAAAAATATGTAGACAAATTCTTTACAAAATTAGTTTAGTACAGTTTCGTGTCAGAAGAGGATTAGTTTGTGTTCATCAAGTATTGTGGAATAAGTTGAGTGATTTTAAGACCATGCCGCGTGGTACAGAAATTTCTTTCGATGTGAAAACTAAGATCATTGAGTTATATAAAGATGGTCAAGTCAACATTGCCAAAAATTTGAAGCTGAAGCGTAAAGCAGTTTGGGCAATATTGGACAAATATAAACAAAAATGTATCTTGGAAGCCTCTAAGAGAAGTGGTCGGCCTAGAAAACTAAATGCTAGATCAGTTAGATTAATAAAAGTAATTTCGTCCAAAGATCCGTTTAAAACCCCAAGACAAATAAAAACCGAAATCGAGACAAAAGGAATTGTCAGTGTTTCTACGAAAACTATAAGTAGAAGATCAAATGATTTGAAGTTATTTGCACGTCGCCCGAGTAAGATGCCTCTAATCTCGAGGAAAAACCGTAAGGACTGATTACAATTTGCACGGTTGCATCTTGATTGGAGCATCTGTGACTGGAAGAGGGTATGTTTCAGTGACACATTTTGCCGACTGCAAACATGGAGGCGTGTCTGTTATGGTTTGGGGGTGCTTTTCGGGGTTTGGGATGGGACCTTTACATATAATAGATGGCATTATGGATAAGTTTGTATACACAGACATACTAAAGCATATCGTGTTACCCTATATGGAAGACAATATGCTCTTAAGATCAATCTTCCAGCAAGATAATGATCGGAAACACATTTCAAATCTCTATGGGAATACTTAGATAAGCAAATACGAGATAAAAATTATTCAAACAAGGATTAACTTTTTTATGCTTTAGAACAAAAGTGGTGACAGATTGATGAATCTTATATCAAGAAACTTCTACAATCTATGCCGAGGCGTTGCCAGACGGTGATTGATAATTATGCTCATGCTACAAAATATTAACACAAACATGGTTGGTTTTCTATAATTCAATTAACTTTGCTTCTTTCTTCTATAATTGTTTTGCTTTGTCTATATAGTTTTGTCCTTCATAGTTTTTTTTAATTAATTTTTTATTGAAGGGAGTCTAATAAATTTATTTATGTATAAGTGAGTACTATGCTATAACGAATTGTGTATACAGGTTGGGGTATTAATAAAACAAGTTAAAAAAGAAATACAGCACAATATTAATTTGTCTATATACTTTTGTCCATTACTGTAGTTTTGAAGCTCTAATCAGATAGGTGACGTCCTCCAGTCTGCATACACTGAGAGAACCGATTTCTTCCTGGATGTTGGTCTTTAAATATTGTAGGGTCCTCTAGATAGTTCACATAAAAAAGTCCATAGAAAAAAATCACAAGCGGCCAAATCGGGAGAGGAGGACCGGCCACTCCAAATCGTTCCTAATTGAGATGATGTGCTATGGGAAGTGATCGCTCAAAACAGCCGTAGATTGTCTTGAAGTGAGTGCCGTTGCATCGTCTTGTTGGAACCAAATGTCCCCTAAGTCCAAATCACCTGGCGGTGGAAAAAAATTCTGTAATATGTTCAGAAAGTTCTTGCACAAATTCCATCTTGTAAGGATGGAAATTAAGATAATCACGAAGAATTCTCCTCGCAGAACGATCGAAAGGTAAAAGGGCAGAAGCATGTGGTGATCGCAACATTGAAGCTTTCACTGCCTAAACGTTTTCGGGTGACCTAATGAGACGGGGGATTCCAGTTCTTCGTCTTGTCGCATTTGCAGTTTGTTTGAACGTAGTGACTCACGTAACAACTGATTTCCGGTCCGGGACAGGGGTCAACGGGGCTAAATTGAATCGATTCCGAAAGGTGCGCTGGGTTGCCATCACAGAACATCTAAAAGTAAGCCTCCGCGGTCCTCACAATTCCAACACATGATTTCGATCGATCTGTATCTGGCATTTAAAAAAAGGTCATGCTGATGCCGCACCATGTATTATAATGTAATCTAGACACAATGTATGTGCTAATCTAATTTACCTGGAAAGGTAGTGTTTCAATTCCTATAGCCTCCATCCTCTGCATCTGCTCCTCATAAAAATATTCTAACTCATACATGCTCAAATATCCATCACCATCTAGGTCCATACATCTGAACCAGTATTCTATTGCTGTCGGATGTAGTTTATCTTCTTCACTTAAAAGAAACCACACAAAGTCTGTGTATGACATTTTCTCTTCTCCAGGATGCTTTCGATGATCTCTGGTTACGCACCCGCAGAAAATTCGGTCGATTATTCTTGTTGATAATGCTGGAAAATTCACTCACACGGATAAAATTGTTTTCATTGGACGAAGAGTCAGGGCTAAATGCATATGCGTTCTTTCAGATGAGTCCGCTGCACCATGAATCGTTAACACGCTGTATTTAATTTGACAGTTTTGACACATGCGAACGACTGAAACATTGTCCAATATCTTTCTCAAAGGAGAAGGCCTTGTTCGTTCTGAGACATCCTTATTTTTTTGCATGGTCGTAAAACTCAGGCTCAAGGCTTTCAGGATTTTTGGCGGGTCACAGTCAAGCTACAGAAGAATTATTTCATGCATCCATCTCCCACACACATACATACATATGATATCCGCACTCTCAATGCGCCAACGTTTGTATGTGTGAACTGAAAGTTATACGTGTTTTGTTTCACACCCATTAAGATTTTCCACTCAACATAACTCCACAATTATGCTTGTCACGTACTGTCTCTATGACAACTTGCTAGTCGTGTAATGCCTGAAGATACCACTACCGCCTGTATTAAATTTATAGAAGTATTTCATCCAATTCATGTGTTCAAGAGCGAGTAGTAGCAGTTGCGTTACAGATCATTAGCCAATCTATTTGCTTATTTTGTATGGTATTGCGACGTAATCACAAAAATCCGTGCAAAGAACTATGCTTTAGTTCTCATGTAACCCATTAAGAATAACACATTTTACATCAAGTGTCAAATAATTGAAAACCAGATGACTCAGTTCGAACAATGCATTTTTGGCAAAACTGTCACTCCCAAATAAAATTAATTAAAAATATGAGGTCATATGATATATTCTTACCATGATCATTATGACGCATGAGATCCTGTTTGTCAATGAATAAATCATGGTCTCTATCTAGTTCCCAAAATTTGCAGTAAATGACATAAAAGTGTTCATAGCTAAAATATTGAGTTATTTGGTTAATATCTTCCTCCTCCTCTAACAGTTGAATTATACTGAGTAAATTAGATCTTCTGAGCTCTGGTATCGTAATTTTACCTGACCACGACCTGCAAAAAGAGAACCTCAATTAACATATGATGAAGTTTAAAAACAGTTTTTTCAGCAGACATTTTATATCTAGTAAGTGAAATAGATCACAATGCTGTTCCAGGAGATCTGACTTATTATTTTTGAACAATTCAAGCTAGCAAGAGATTGGGGTGATGAAATTGATGCAGGGATACTAAAGCGTATAAGTGTGACAGTTGAAAATTTCAAAATGGAATTTTTTTAATGGAATAAGGTGTCACGTGATACCTGATTTTGGAGCTCCTCATCAGCACTATCAGCGCTTTATAAACCTAGAATACAAATGTTCTCTATTTTTGTAAATTACAGCCTGTACCTTGCATCGCTTGTAACTGAACAACTAATCAAAAAGCTTTAGTAAGTTATGTCAATCATTTATTGGTAGGGTCTATCTGAATGTGCAATAAAATATGGAACATTCAGCACTATATATTTTATACATACCTATTGACACAATAGTATATCCTGGCAATGACTGTATGTACGTATCTAGAATGAAACTCGGTAGCTTCCTTTAAGAATACTAGACCCGGATGGGTTTCCACGACATCTTGTACTAATGGGATGAAATCTTCAGGAGCAAGCCATGTTCGACGACCCCTGGTGAGTATATATAAAAATCTAGATGCAGCATCGTGACACTGGGCGGTTAACCTGCAAAAATATGTGTGAACTGTTCTAAGCTGTGTAAATGAGCAAATTCGACGACCAGATCCCCCTTACGCTATGTCACAAAGATAAAATAGCGACACCAACACATGAGGTGCGGTCGACCGACTCCGGTCTATAGCCCTTTTCACGAGTATTCATTACTGTAGAATGACAGCTGATTATCTAGTAATATTTCAAAATTCCAAATATCGGCAAAGGACACATAATTATGAAGGATCCGTCAATGCCAGGAAGACAGGGCTACATTTTGTTTTGGTTTTTTGTACGCTACAGATTCAGTTTGTACTTGCTTAAAGCTCTTTTATTCAGAAAAGTTCATTTGCATACAAAAAACAAAACGCTGCAAACAAGTTTTAATATATTTACAACCGATTCATTATTGCCAACGTCGCAGACTAACACAAAAACGTCACTTGGTTCGTAGACGTCCAAGCGTGATGGATACTCGTGAAATAGGGTATAATTCTCGTCTCAAGGTTACGACCATATAACCTAGATCACATGAGTACTGAGTGTACACGGGTACTTCGTGCAGTGATTCCCTGTGGGTTATTTCATCTCCTACTAATAATGTTAAGATTATATTTGCATTTTTGAAAGGTCCCATTATTCTCAAATTTGCAGCTTACACAGTTTTTTGTGAGTGAAGCGTCGCAGGTTAGTGTATTTACCGTATTTTGATATACTTTTTAATCCTTCCTATTACAAAAAAGCATCTCTGTTGGACATTCAAAAGACTCTCAAAATTACATTTTTGTTGAAGGTACATAAGGCAAAACTTGAAGCTGTTCAAATTTCGAAAAATTATCTAATAGAATCCCTTTATGAAATGGCGAACTAAATTTAAATCCTATAGGTCTCTGAGCTGCCTTAGGGAGGAGGTTACAAAAGAATCACAAATTAGAAGTGGTAAATTCCTAAATTAACTTACGTATGAATAAAGGCTTCCTTTACTGTAACGCGAGATACTCGTTATTCACGTTACCATTTTGCATTTTATTTACTTTGTTTTGTGTTTTTTTTTGGGTGTTCATATGAGAGATGAAAGATTTTTTTTCGAAAAAACATGTAGTATTAACACCTTTTATATGTACAAGCTACGCAAATACCATATATACACAAAGACAGTGGAAAATTATTAGAAAAATCGTCCAAATGAGGCAGCTCATAACGGTAAAAAATGCTGTAACCTTGGCTATTTCTTGATGGTGCAGAATTGGACAAGCCGATAGTAAAGATCGAGTCAATTGCATCCTTTACGTTAGGTTAGACCTATTGATTCTCAATGGACAACACCATTTTTGCGGCCTTTGGACGTTCGCCGCTTGCCCAGTCAAGAGATGAGGGTATGGTCGAAATATACATTTCCACAACAAAACTATGTGAATAATGGAGAATAAGCACTATATTAATTCTCTAAACAAACGATATGAAATACTACTATTACAATACTCGTCACTACTCGTAAACAAAGGTCTGATTTCTAGAAAGGTTTCCAGTATTACTTAGGCACTGTTCTTATGATGACAATTCGGCTTCAACCCAATTTGAGTTCATGGAGAAAGTATGTAGTCTCGCCATAACTGACTCCCATCTATTTTCTTTGTACGACTGCTCAAAAAAGTTATATACTATAGGTATAGGATAGGTATAGGATTCAATATAAATTTTTTCGTGCAATATATTTTTTGTATCTCAAAAAATGCTGCCAAATAAAGTTATATTTATTAAATGGAACGCCCTGTATATTTTTAAGTAAACTTATAGTCGCTTTTTTCATTAGTTTGGTCAAAACTATAAATTCTGTGTTACTTATTCGTATAAACCAGATTGTATAGGCGGCTATAAACAACTCGGAATTGAATAAATGGCAAACAAAATTTGAATTTTGATCAACGTTTTCTCTTAAACTATATAGTTTGTTCCATTTAAGAAAATACGAATTTACTCAGAAATGTATACAAAAAAGACATTGCACGAAAAACTCTATAATAGACCCTATAAATTTTGCATAGAACTGTTTTCTGAATGGTAATACAATCAATTTAGAGGGGGGGGTCTATTTATAGCGGGCCTTACTATAGGCTGTATATCCAAGAAATATATTAATGGTCGTATTGCCAGTCGCTCCTAGAATTATAGAATGCCTTTATGGCATAATGTGCAGCGAGTGCTTTTGCCGCTTCGATAAGATTGATGAAAAGCCGACGCGCTGTTGTCATGTGTGTTTTAAATATTTGATTTAATGAAACTTACTTACTTACTGACTACAAATTTTGGTTTAACTTAGAAAAACTTAATGCCCTTTATTTGTAATTACCCAATTTAAAAACGTTTTAGATTAGATTATAAAAATTAGTAAGATTGTGGTGATTATGGTCGATATAAAGCACTTAAAGTTGTAAACTATAAAGCCATTTAGACAAAAATCTATTGACTTTTGGACCATGGGTCATATGAACTTTTTGACGTGTTTTCACCCCCCTATTACCCATTTCAATATTGACAACCATAATGTTTACACCCTGTATATTTGAGGTTTTATAATACCAATCAATGTCATGGCATGTACAATAACATATCGTTAAAATCGGAAAGACGAACTATTCTTCTATGCATAGTTCATAAAAATTAACGAATGCTTGGATGATGATATGGAGCAAATAACTATCTGATCATTTCAAGGCCTACTTATGAAATCGTGTTTTTTAAATAACTAAGGTTCGGTAATGTCAAAGTATGACATATCATACATTATTGGAAACAAAATTAAAAACTCTAGTTAACTGCGATCAAATCCAATATGACATCTATAATAAAAAATAAAATTGATGATTGAGGACAAGAGATGATACGTCATATTGAAATTTTAATTTGGCCATCACGTAGAGGATTAAATTGACTATTCTGGAATCCCATTTCAAATAAGTCTGGAAAAAATAAAACCGCTTTCTAGAAAATTTGGTTCTATTCGTGTATCTCCGAAAATACTCGGAATTGCGAAACTTTCCAAGTGCTATTTTGTTAGGTACCTAACCGGGCAAATTTGCCCCCATTTCACCGGTTTCCGGGATTCCAATCGTGAGAGTTGAATTTAAAACACCCGGTATATGGGAATATGACAATTCAAGTCCATCACTGCTCGAAGAAAAGCGTCCCCTGAGTACTCTGTCTCATGTCACTGTCTCGCACCTTTTTGAGCATTCTGCAGTCTATTTCTAAAATATGCCAGTGATAAGATTGTTTTTTGGTTACCGATTGAAGTTATCGCAGTTTAGCTCAAAACTTAAATCCCAAATAATTTCGTAAACCGATTCGTTATGCAGGAGTATGGGTTGCATATGGAACAAAATAAGTTTGTATAGAATTCGTCACTTTTTAGAATACCTACCCTTGCCAGAAGTTCATGAACTGTTCCAAGGTACAGCTGCCTTTATCTGCACATGCAGCGAGATAAAGAGGGGTCTTCCAGTAAAGAGGTAGTTGACATGCCTGCGTAATCGCTGCGAAATGTTCTCTAGACGCTCTTTCGCCGATTTTTGTGAAGGCTGCTGTCAACTGCAAAACAAAATTCCAAAGTCATTTAATAAGCATTATCAAAATTTAAACAACATCACCTTAGTTTTGATAATGTCCTGCTGCCCAGGCGGTCCCGGTTTGCCAACAGGGAAGTGAAACCTTGGTATGTTAACATTCCTGTGCGCCCGGACATGCCTTTGAAGTGTCGTGTGCTGCAGGGAATTTTGCTTTGGTATAGGCTGGAAAGATTGATAACATCAAATAAATAATAGATTCTCACATTCATTGTCAGGAAAACCAATTCAGTTGAAGTCGACTTTTCAACATTTTGTTTACAGGTTTTACGAAAATGTTAGCCCTAAATCAATAATTAGCACAAATCGCAGATTGGTGCAACCCGTTATGAATTGTGTTACGTGTAATAAATAGATGGAAAGTTCAGCGACGCTGAAGAGAAAAGCAGCATAACTAATGTATAGTTTCTCAGGAAGTGACGTTTTTCAAGCTGACAATTAGACATTTAACCAGAAAACTTTAGTTTGGACTAAATCAAATATCCTGAACAATCTGACATAATTACAGGTGCTTATTATTCTTGTTAGTTTTAAGAAGAGTACTGCTGCAATGCTATGCTATTCTTTGCCAACACTAAGTGGGCCTTCGTGTATACAGGGTGGCCCATCCATGTGTGGACATAGACAAATACATTTTGAGAAAATCTATTTACGGGATGACATTTGAGGGCACATTTGTAAAATATTTTCCATTATACAGGGCGTCCCAATTTCGACCTAGATGTCAAAGTTGTGATTTTTCAAATAGAATGCCATATTTGGATAGACCAATTCAAAAGAAGAAAACTGATATAACATACTATATGGTTTTGCTGATTAGCTACTGAGATATAAGGTGTTTTGTCTCGAAAAACCCCCCACTTCGGCAACCCCTCAGTCCGCCATTTTGAAATTTGGAGTGCTGAATCCTGTATTCAAAAAAAAACTTACATAGCTCAACTTTTATCTTATTTGTTACTTTTTCGAATTTTAATTTTTGCTTATACAGGGTGGTCAAAAACGCAAATTGTAGTTTTACTCAAAAATTTCAAATGCACCACCCTGTATATTTGAGCAAGTTTGGATTCAATTTTTAATAAGCTTTTTATTTGATACTATACACATATGGGTTTTTACGGCTATTTTTTCGGTTATTAGCACGTCTTTTATGGAACGGCTTAATTCCCTAAAATATCGCATCATCATTGGAAACAAATAAATTGTTGATTACTTATAAACTGTAAAAATTAGTTTTGTGAGCATTATAATAAAAAAGTGTTTGAAAATGATTTTTTCTAAAGAAGAAATGGTGAATATGGTGTTCGTTTTGGGCGTTTCCTAGCATCTCATTTATAAGCAACGGTACCCTAATATGCGACATCTAAGGCCGGAAACATTTTATACACTACGAGAACGTTTTGAATCAAGTGGAGCAGTGGAATATAGTAAAAAATGTAAAGGGTTGTCCAATAGGGACGCAGGAAAGTAAACGTCAATTTGACATAGATGCCATCTTTGTTTTCTGTCACCGACATGTCATTTTGTTAGTTGAATGTTTACCATTGATCGCTAAGCAGTCGTATTCGATTGAAGACCGCATTAAAGTTATTCAAGAGCACTACAAAAATGGTGCAAAAATAAAAAACACGTTTTGCGCGCTCCGTGAACATTTCGGTCGCAACAACCGCCCAAACGAAACAACCATCGGTCGTCTGGTGCGTAAATTCGAGGCAACAGGTTCTGTGGCAAATCTGCCAGGCTCTGGCCGGCCAAGGAGCGTTCGCACACCGGAAAACATTGCTCTTGTGAAGGAGAGTGTGAGAGACGATCCGAAACAATCAACAACGCGTCGATCCCAAGAATTGGGCATTTCGAGAACCAGTTTGCTCCGCATTCTCCACAAGGATTTGAATGTACACGCCTACAAGATCCAATTGACGGAAGAGCTGCGTCGGGCCGACCATTTTTCGCGCCGAACGTTCTCAAATTGGCTCCTTGAACACCGCCAAATTGATGCCAATTTTTCATCAAAAATCATGTTCAGCGACGAAGCGCATTTCACTTTGAATGGGACGGTAAACAAGCAAAACTGCCGCATCTGGGCGAACGAAAATCCCCGTGAGTATCAAGAGCAGCCGATGCACCTCAAAAAGTGACTGTGTGGTGTGCATTGTGGTCAAAAGGCATCATCGGACCTTACTTTTTCGAAAATGCGGCCGGGGACGCCGTTTCCGTCAATTCTGAGCGATATCACGTGATGATAGAGGACTATTTTTTGCCGCAACTTGAAGGAATGGATATGGACGATGTTTATTTCCAACAAGACGGTGCAACATGTCACACAACCAACGTCAATATCCATCGATTGCAGTCCTTCTTCGGTGATCGCGTGATTTCGCGCAGAGGAAATGTGTCATGGCCACCAAGATCGTGCGATTTGACTCCCTTGGACTTCTTTTTATGGGGATATTTGAAAAGCAAAGTCCACGTCAACAAACCACCCTCCAAGAACTCAAAAACAACATCATTGCCGAGATAAATGCCATAGAACCGACCATGTTGCAAAATGTCATTGAAAATTTCGACCATCGCGTGGACGTCTGTAAATCCAGTCGTGGTGAACATTTGAGCGATATTATTTTTCATACATAAATGGTATAAATGAACCTTCAAATTAAAGTACCCAACTTGATTTGAATATCAATCTTTCTTGCTTTAATATGCGTTTACTTTCCTGCGTCCGTTTTGGACAACCCCATATAAATAATCCACAACGACGATGAAAAGACCTAGACATTTACATTCATTCATAAAACGTCTATCTGGACGTTGACAAGATAAACAACAGAAAACTATATACAGCTGGAGGAAGATGGCGGACAGTCGTCAACTGCCATGGGCGTATCATAATCGGGGTAATAGAGCTATAGCTAGAAATCGATTTTTGTGGAGTTTTTGGGCACTTCAATGAATGTAAAAGTATTATGCATAATGGAATGGAATAATTTGTCACTCAAATAAATTGTTTATGCTAATTATGAATATGCAAGCCGAAATATAGCGTCGAAGTACAATTAAATATAAGTGTACATAAACACAACAAGAAACGGTCAAAACTAGGACTATGAATCAAACCGGACGTCACATGCACTCAGACCAATCATGATAGTGTCGCCAGCGACAGACGAGGCTCTGAAAACTGATGAGCTTTATACATTTATTAACCCGACTGCCTCAGGAGGAATATGTTTCACATGTTTTTTGGTTTGTATGTATATATCCAAAAATTCTGTTTCACGGGCTCAAATGCTTGTTGGATTTTGGTATTCGGATTCGTCCTAGCAGTATGAGTGATACTGGGTATATTAAAATTTCATTGAAACAAAATGGCGAATATTAATAAAATAATCAACCTTGAAATTCATATTTCCAAGGCTGCAGCTTGAACGGTTTGATGGATTTTGACAGAGGTGCCTCTAGATTAGAGACGGTATACTTGACCAATGTGTTTCCAATATTTACTTAAAAATTAGAGTTGGATTGAACAGTTTTGATCGCCATCCATTTTAATAAGATATTTTTTTAAAACAAATCAAACAGTGAAATGGGAACACTTTTTATTTTGACATTTTTACAAAATCATAAATTACAAGAGTTGCTTCAAGCAGCTACTTCACACTCGCCAATTTAACAATGGGTACAAAATCATCATAGGCCATTCCTTGTATAATAGTAAAGAACAGTATAAGAACAAACACTCTAAATCTTATTAGTACTACTTTGCCAGTATTATAAAGCGAATGTCAGACGTTCATTTCATACTCTGATCCGTTAGTATTTTCCAAGGAATGTGGTCGTATTCATTGAACGTCTAGCCTAGCGTATTGATGCCATGTTTTATTGTTGCATAAGGTTATGTGGAAATTCAATCATTCCATCGATCCGGAAGGAAATCTATCAGTAAATACTGACGTACGGATCACAGTATGGAATGAACGTCTGACATTCATCTACGAGGTCTCAGTTATAGCATAATTAAAGGAAAATATGCGAGTTATATATATATATATATATATATATATATATATATAATATATATATATATAAAGGTAACTTTATATAAAATCTAATTACATATAATATAATCAAAAATATATACATCAACACATTAAGCATAATTGTAAATAATTCATTCAATCTTGGGGTGTTACCTAAAGTGTTGTAGTAATCGTGTTGAGAAATTTGTATAGCAAATTAATTTTATAAGATAGCTTATGTATCCATTTATAACATGAAATACGAAAAAAAAACAATACATGCAGTCGGGATATTTCCATTTTACTGTGTATTGGTAGAAATTGCGGAATCTTGAATTATTTCAATTACATGCGAAACAGCTGAAATGTAGTCGACCTATACATACATGATCAGTGTCGCCAGAAAATTAAAAATCTACTAATTAGCTATGCATTTTGGGAAAAACAAAGCTTGAACTTCTGCCACCTACAGGTCTACAAAACTGTACATAATTTAAAAATACTTCTCAACCTTAGAATCATATCATAGAATCCAAAAAATTACGAGAGATACAACAAAGAAAAAAATCTTACTGATGGCTGAATAATACTGCCTTCGTATATACACTTCTAATTCTGTTTTTTTTTAAACTGTCCGATTTTTTCACAGTTTCGTGATGAATTCTGAGTGAGAAATACTTTTTCAAAATCAGTTTTATCAGAAATATGCAGTGCCCATCAATAGGGTCATCTTCAAGAAGGTGGTGTTCAAAATACCCCAAAATATGTGGTGATATTGATTGTATGGTATTATTGACTAGAATATCCGAGAGATGTTTGATATTTTTGTTAAAGATATTAGTTGTCTTTTGGAAGAAACGAAAGTATTTTTCACCATGGCGGCAAATTTGAATAACTGGTCCTGAGGCTTTTGTCAATTCTCCATAAACTTTTCTTTTTTGCAATGGCATGTCAATATCGCCCTCTAAAGAATTCTTACAATTTATACAAGTAACACATTTTTTTAAACAATTCACCACAAACCCTGCAATGTATGAAACAACATCTTCTGTATAAATTGTAAGATTCCATGCAAAAGGTGTGCACTGGTAAAGGGCAAGATCGTTTTTTATTTTTTCTTCAAATTGAAGTAATTCTGGGCTATTTAAA